GATCTTGGCTTCTCACTGGGTCTAAGGGTAGAGCCTTCCAGGATGTACTTTGACCCCACTTCAACATGTCAACTCAAAGTGTGCTTGGACCCTGGTGTGTGGGGAGCACATGGTGAAAAGCGATGCAAGGGCCAAATCAAGCTCGTTGATAGTGGCAACCTGATTTGGACCCCCGTGGGTGTGACCTTGTCGGCTCCGCCCCGTCCCCTAGTGCGGAAACAAATATGGTCTGATTTGCAGCGTACTGTAGATCATGAGCCCAATGTCCTAAAGGTCTGGAGGGACCGGGATATCCAGGGCATTCACCACCAGCCGCACCCCGTGGTATCATCCTGGTCCATGTGAGGTTTTCTCAGAATAGGGCCACCCCTCCAATGCGCAATCTCTTGTTGCGGCTGTAACGCCCAGGTCTGGTTGGCAACCTCCGGCTTCAACTTGGAACCCGCGCCAAAGGGAGTGTTGATACCAAAACGCCAGCAGATACCATCACAAAGGGGATGGCCGAAAAGACCCCCGAACAAACACCCTCTTGAATATATCACTTAAGGCCCCTCGGGACGCCTCAACTGGGCGAGAAAAAGGGCGCAAAAAGAAACCAACGCACGGAGAAATCTGAGGTGTGAGCTGTTGAGGCAAGCCTTTTCGTGGTAACTCAGAAAAACAGGAAGGAAAACACAAGCCAGGGAAAGCAAATCTGAGGTGAGGCAACCCTTTTTCGTGGCAATTCAGACCATCCCACCGCCTTTGGCGCGGGTTCCACGGTTCCACCTCGCACAGCCCCCACCCCTCACCCTTCCCCGGTGTCCGGGGCCGCTGGCGCCGGCAGGGGCCAAGCTCAAGGCCTCCTCCACCTCGAGAAGTTTCCCGGGGGCCGCCGTCGTCTTTTTCTCGCCCCCTGGAAAAAATGGAGAACCTGTGTACAGTAGCGAAGTCGATTCCCTTGACTTGAGAACCAAGAAGGAAAAATAAGATATGTTCTTAAGCAAAGTTGGGATCCACAGTAATTTTCAGAGAAGGGGCCTGACCCCAAAGACGCTCGACCCCCCTTCTTTAAGGGGGAGATTCCCGAAGATATCACAAAAGTGGTTGGAGAAACCCCGAGTGATCCCACAACCCTGCAAAGGGGTCTGGGAAAAAAGGAATCTATCCAATTGTCGGCTTCCCTGTGGGCAACGTGATGGGCTATATCCTTTGTTAAACCAAAAAAAAAACAAAACATACAGTGGATGGCTGCGAATCCCATCCAACGCCCTTGGAAACCCTGCTTTCTGATTTGATTCCCCAAGGCAAAAGCCACCAAACGTTATGGTTTCAACCATGGCTTCAAGGAGGTGCGAACGGATTTTGTCCAGTAGAATCTATCCAATTTGCTGGCTTCCCTGTGGGCAAATCAAAGATATGGGCAATTTAGCACCCAGTAGCACTTGGATCCAAAACCTCCTGGGTCCCCTTTCAACTCGGGGTGTACGGGGAGCCTTCGGCTGGACCGTCTGCGCCATTCTTACCCCTTAAAACTCCAAGCCCTGGGGAAGTTAATCTTTTACAGCCATATAGCCCATGTTACCCAAAAAGTTGAAAAGTTGAAAAGTTATTAAGCGGTAAGCTCATTCATTCGGCGGCTTTCTGAGCTTTTGGCCACCTGGGCCTTGGCGCCGCCCGCGATCTTGAACCACTGCCGCGCCGGCCTCAGCACCTGAAGCCACGAGCTAGCGCGAACTTGGAACCACTTTTCACCTGGGACACCAACACCAAAAGCCAGATTCTCTTCGGGGTATGGGTCTGCGTTTCCTTTTGGCTCCCTTTAAAACAGACCAAGCGCGGGGTGCCCTCGAAAAAGACAGACCAAGGGTATAGCTGGGCTGTTCAAAATGGTTTGGGTTGGCGAATCCGATTTTCACATAATCCCTATGAAGCCACTACAAAGGGAACGGGTTCCTTGTGTAGCGTCAGGTGAGCAGCCAGTACAGGTCTGTTTTCCCCCAAACAAATGTAGTTTTCCTTTTGGTTTCCCTTTGAAACATACCAAAAGCCCGACCAAAAAGGGGGGTACCCTGAAAAAAGACGGACCCATATTTCATCTACCCCAAAATCTAACTTCATCTTGGGGAGACTCCTGAAGCTTTCGGGCCCAGTGCAGGACCGGCAATGGGGCAGGTGGCAAAACCGCACCGCTGGACCGAAAAAAACTTCCCCAACCTCCCCGGTTGCTTGACTTGTTGCTTGTTGTCATGTGGCAAAATCCCAATCCTGAAAATGAGGTTTGCCGGTGCCACGAAAAGCGCGGCCTTGCCGGCGAGTGTCAAATGCCCACGCCCGTGCCAGTCCTGTGAACCAATGCTCGCCCGTCGAGTGGTCATTTTTGGTGTTGGTCAAAAATCGGTACCCAAAATGGAACCCTGGTAAATGGAAACCTCGACTAACACCTGCGGTCCAATTCCCGGTGGTTTAATTTTGACCCATACCCATTTAGTGAGGCAGATGGCACAAAGAAGGGAACGAACCGGGGAATGCCAACAGTCATGGAAGTGGAAAGGAGTGTTGGAGGACCGTCATCATCTTTCAAAGGCCCATCCACTTCCAGGACTGGAAAAAGGTGACGACCAAAACAACTGAATGTGGCTCAGTTAACTAAACAGGTGGGGTTACGCAGGTTTTGGTGTATGTTTCCACTTATCAGGGATCCATTTTAGGTACCGGTGGTTTGAGCCACACCCAACTGGCAGCTCTGCGCACTTTCTGCCCGCAGCCGCACTTGGGCCATTCGGTTGCATCACAACTCCTCTCGCAGCCACTCCTAAGAGGTGGGCCAACGGCTTCCACTGAGTACCCAACTGCAACCAGCCCGGGAAGACCTACAAAATATTCACCCGTTTGTGGTGAAATGTAAGGAAATTACTGGCTGCTTACTCAGCCGCCGGTTTTGGAATACATCCATATCTTCAGAGCTGAAGTCGCACCTATGGACCAAGGAGACATCGCTTGGTTTGCTTTGCTCAATCCCCCATCCCCACCCGATCGCCTGGGATCAGCCCATTTCAGGAAAGAATGTCCCTTCCATTTGCGGAAGGCGCTGGCAGTAGCATACTTACCGGCCAAGGCCAGAGTCCTATCCCCCCTGCCTTCGGGGGACGGGGGCGTTCCCAAGTCCATGTTCAAATCTTCCCCAGGGACTGGGGAATGACACAAAACACCCCAAACAGCTTTAGTTCCTGCGGATGGAAATGAGCACTCATTAGGCATCATCCTGACACGCAACTGCGCACGAACAGCGATAACACGGCCAGCAAGAGGCAGCTGCCTTTCCAGCGCGAGATATGGCCATGGGTCAAAATCCCGTACCCCCAGTGAAGGTCCAACTGTTTAGCCTAAAATAGGCTAACATGGGTGGTGCACCTACCCCAAAATGGTACCATTGGTATTGACCCACAGCCATTCATCGCTCATAAACCCCATCAAGGCACGCAAACCCCTTGACCCAAAGCACGGGCCGCTTGAGGCGTTTGGCAACCAGCTCGGACCTGTACCAAGGGAAAAGTGCTCGGTAGGTCCAGGAGTCAGGGAACAACAGGAGGTGGCAATTAGTAAAAGAAGTAGAAGGAGAACAGCAGCAGTTGCACCATGCCAGGGGTACCCACCGGCACGTAGCATGTGTCGGGAGGTTGAATGCCCGTTTGAAACACTTTTGAGTCCCCCTTGAAGCTGTTCCAGTGCTGCTACCTTCCAATAAAAAACTCACTTGAAATTGGCCCAAGGCTTGGCTGTCATAATGTGATAGATCCCCTTTAAAACCAGGGGAACAAAAATCATTTCACCAAATGGAAGTACAAAGGAAACACAAACACACGGCTCCCCCAAGAAGGCGGGGCATCTCCAGGCCTCAGTCTCCCCCGTTTTCGCTTTGCGCGCCCGGGCGTCGATGGGCGCATGGGGCGCTCGCACCACGCTGTGGGGTTTGGGCCCATGGCGCCGCCAGAAGCTCTCGGGAAGCCGGGGCCGGAACCTGGAAGAAACAGCCCAAAGGGTCTGAGTCTGGGCTGACCGTTTTTTGGATCTGCCAAGAGTGACTTTAGCTCTTGGTGGGTTGAAACCCAACCGCGAAACCAACCGAAAGGCGAGCTAAGGAACCAAGTGACTGGCGTTAAGTGCGTTAAATGGAAACCACTAAACCAACTAGAAGCTGAACAAACTGCGGAACTGGATGGCTGGGAGGCATCAAGGTTGAACTACCCCTGGATTTTCTTGCTGCAAGAGATGCACAAAATGAGAGTTATGGAATGACCCCAAGACAAAATCAACCGGTGGCTTCCTTTCTTCGGGAACTTCCAGGGATCCTTCCCTACGTATCGCAGCGGCAAGTTTTGAGACCTCGGGGTGGCTGTCCCTTTGGTGCAGCTCCAGACTCTCGAGGTGTTCCCCAAGAAACGATACAGGACGGGTTCCAGAGAGAGTTGCATTGTCCAGGTCCCTTTTGGGGCGAAAACCAACTTTGAGTTGGGATATTTAGTGACACACACACGCACACACACACATACACACACACACACACAATGGAGGCCGCACGCTAACAGCGCCCGAGGTGCCGGTTACAACAAAGTGCTTTGACCTGAGGGTGCCCAGATTCTGATTGTGTTGCGCAGACTTAGTAAGGCAGACTTAGTAAGTGCTGCGCTGGTGGGTGGCACGTGACCCACACGATTGTAAGACGCGGGCTTCGGGCTTCGCTCGGGCTTCCGGTCCAGAGAAGGGGACTTGCAGAAAGGCTGCTTTGGGCTGCTCTTCACCCCAGACGCCCCGTGTCACCATAGCGATCAGACCAAAAACAAAAAAACCTCACGTTGAGCTTTCCCTACTGCAAACCAGGCGCTCTGTGGGCGTTTTTGTCTGAACCATGGCGTTCAGAGACGCCCCACGTTGATTATCCCTTGGACTGCAGGAAAATATTCAGTGACTCTGGTACTATTCTGTCCACATGGACTCTTTGGATGCCATCGATTGCGGCAGCCAACCATGAAAAGTGGTCCCCCTTGAATTCCAGATGTCAACCACATGTTGCCTTTGCAAAGTAACCCATATAGATGCTTTGTGATTTTCCTTGAACAATCTCCGGCGACGCTCCCAGACATTTTGGTTGAAACAAGACTTGCTTGTGCCCCTTTATGCTCGAACCCAATGGGTGGGGAAACTGATCAACTGATAGGACTTTTGCCACAAGGACGACCGACCAGAACCTGGTCCCAGAAGTAAGCGTACTTGGTTGCTCGGTTTGAGCACAGGAGCAAAGCACAGTTTGCTCCTGGTGGGCCTGAGGGGCCCTTTGCGATGCTCTTCCTTTAGCTTTTGAGTCGTCTCCAAAAGGCCGCAAAGTAATTACTTCAAACTGCAACACCTTCACCCCTTCCAGACCGAAGGGGAACTCATTGGACATCAAGAGTACCACTTATTCTAAGGCGCCCGGGTCGACAGCTAAGCGGCTTCTCCCGCAATGCCGCGGGGGCCCACCTCGACAAGTGCCATGGGATGACTACCCCCAGTCCATTAACATGGCACCTGACGTTTCGGGGTGGGTTGGGGGTTGGGGGGTTGGGGGGTTGGGGGGTTGGGGGGTTGGGGGGTTGGGGGGTTGGGGGGTTGGGGGGGGGGGTTGGGGGTTGGGGGTTGGGGGGTTGGGGGGTTGGGGGGTTGGGGGGTTGGGGGGGTTGGGGGGTTGGGGGGTTGGGGGGGGTTGGGGGGTTGGGGGGGTTGGGGGGTTGGGGGGGTTGGGGGGTTGGGGGGTTGGGGGGGTTGGGGTCCAGGTTTGGACCATTTTCTGGAATATGGACCCTTTGGTGGGCTCCATGTTGGATGGGAGGCTACCCTGGCCTGCATCCAATTGCCACAAACACGGCATGCCCAAACCTGAAACAAGCGCAGCCGAGATCAGTTGGATGGGCCACGCTCCCTAACAGTCACCTCCGACCTTGCCTTGTCTCAGCGTGTCCTTTTGCCGCACCCTGCTTGGTTGAGCGAACTCGCATGCCCTTGGAATGAGAATAGAGCTACTTCCGGGGGGGACCTATGTTTCTCCAATTGGGTCAACCTTCTCCAAGAGCGCAAGCAAGCAAACCAACCGAGAAGCCTGAGGGAATTGCTTGGTACCTCCGGAAGGCCTAGTGGCCGATGAGCAAAGCAGTGCCCTCCATGGGTGTGCGCCAAAATGGGGGATCCAAGGTACCACCATCCAAACAAAAACTGTGTGGCTTCTTTGTGGCTTCCCTTGACACTAGAAAACGGAGATGGTCAACGGGTGGCACCCGATTGCATTGCCAGATGTTGCATCGGGTTTGGCCAAAACACGACCCATTCCTACTTGGGCTTGTCCCTACCTAGAGTCTCCATGACCCTAAAAAAAAGAAAGTCATTTCCCAAAATAAAGGGGTAATGTACCTATTTTTAAAGGGTCGTTTTTTGAGCCACAGCCAAATTGGACCAACCTACTCCATTTGCCTGAGACCCAACAAAACACACCGAAGGACTGCAACATTGAGCGAGCCCCTGAGCAATTTTCAGACGCCCACTTGGTGCGTGAAAAACTTCTTGTGGGGTCCGATGGGGGTTCAATCCTCACTGCTTCAACCTAAAAGTTCTCAAGTCGAAAGATCCGCTACGAAAATGCGCCCACAAAGTTCACAAAGCGCAGATGCGACCAATCCAAGGGACCTGGAGATTCCACCCATCCCTTCCATCTCGGGCCATGGGCTGCCGGAAGGGCGGCAAAGGGATCTGCAAGGGCTGGGCGGAGCAGTAGGGCCGCGCGCCAGGCTTGGCCAGATACCTGCCATGAGCTTCTCAGTTGCCCAAAGGACCCAAGAATAAGAGGTTCACCTGGTGGTGTCTTGACTAAAACCGGACCAAATTAGGGAAACCAACAGGTGAAAGGCCGGCTTTGGGCAGCTGAGGGAAGGGGCTAGAAGGGTTGAGTCGGCAGCAGTCTCAGTTGTCCAGATGACCCGCCAATACCAGGCGAACCCTCTGGGGCTATGACTCAAAATGGCCCAAGGGAAGACCAAAAGGTCATGGCTTGGGCAACCGAGCAACGTGTAGTTGCTTCCCTCTCGGACTCTTCTGCCGGCTTAGTGGCTTTGGTAACCCTGGCTAAAACAAACCACGGGTGCCAAGCACCAAGCGCCCTGCGCCTAAGCAGTGCAGAACCCCGCAAGTTGTTTTTCACGAGCTCTGGGAAACAGAAGCTCGGCATCTGGAGCCTTCAGAAAATATGGGAAACCCACTTGACGTTGGTCAAGTGATCCTCCCTACTACTCCGGCAACTTGGCTCGTGTTTTCCCATCTCCAACCCCGGACAGGATATGTGTTTGGAATGTAGGGATGTTGCATGGAAAAAGCAATCTCTGTAAGGGTTGCTGGTGCTTTGCCTTCGTTTTTTTGACCAGCGTCCTGGGAGAGAACAATCAAACAAGGGCCGTCTCCCTGTCAGTGTTTGTTTGACCCCCCTTGTGGGGCCAAAACATGGGTCTTTGGAAAAATTGAATGGACTTCACAGGCAAGTGCTGAGACCCAACCTAAAATCGTTGGACTTCATCTAACTTAGGCCGGAACTTGTCTGCTGCCAAAGGCCGGAACTTGTCTGCTGCCAAAGGCCGGGTATGACTCTAGGGGGCCCTGGCAGGCCCTCTTCATATTTTGGACCTTCTTCGAGACCATGTGGCTGCGGCTCAAATAAACGTACCAAAATGGCACCTTGGCAAATGGAACCAAAGACTGAAACCTGCGTAACCCTAGGTCTTTAATTTTGAGCCACACCCATGTTGCTGGCAGTATGACACGAAGTTGACGAGCTCGGCCTTCAAATGTTTCGTCATTTCATCTTTGCCTCTCTAACCCGTTGAGCTGACCCGTTATGCACCCCAGTGGTTGGAACCAAAAACAAACACGTGCAAACTTTGCCCCTAGCAACACAAAACCAGAAAGCAGGCCCGGTTGGAGTTGCCGAGCTATTGTTGCTGTCCCTGCCGCTAAGCCCAGCTGAGACTCTGCTGATGGTAGTCCTGACATGGGATGTCCAATCCAGAACCGTAAAGGGCTACCCAAGCTACGAGCGTCTTATAGCCGAAAGCCGTTCGCATGATTGCCCTGTTGTGTCCTTTCATGGACAAACGAAAGAATTGAGCCCCCTAGCGTTTGCCGAGACAAAGTTGGCCATGGACTTTCGCCCTGATTTCCTCCAAACAAGACCTGACAGCCGCAAGTTATGGCCTGGCCAAAGCAAATGCCGTCTGTGGCCCCCCTTTCTTCTCCTGAACCGGGCAGGCGGCAAAGCCTGCTGGGAAGTGCGTATCGGCAGGTGGCAAGCCAATCTGCCAGGTAGAAAACCTCAAGCAAAGCTGCATATTCTCCGAATTTGAAAAGCGGCCCCCCTCCTGAAACCAACCTCCCAACAAGCACGGGGTTGCACCCAGCAACAGACCGTGGTTTCCCTCATGGAGGAACATTGGCTCAAGAAATGTTCAATTTCTACTAAGACGTGCACCCAGCTCACATGGATGACCAGCCTCTGCCGGTTATACGTCGGCTATTCACATAGCTAGGTGGGGTGATCATCCATGGCCTCTTGCAACGCTACCCTCAAAGTTCAACTCGGCTGTGGGTCAAAAAGAGGTATTCAAAATGGAACTCTGGTAAACGGAAACATGGACTAAAACCTGCAGTCCCCTAGTGGTTCAAGATTGACCCACACCCACTCAACTCCTCAGCGTAGTAGAAGACTTCGGGGAAGTCTGCCGCCGCCCGGATCTCGGTAGAGATCTCCTTAGTAATGCTGACATCCACTAGGTCCTCCAGTAGAGAGGTTGGAATACTTTTTTTTTCTGTAGTCTATTATTTCAGTAGGGGAACCCTCCCCCACAAAAGGGTAAAAGGGCACCACTGGGGGACCTAGTCAAGGATCTTGCGCATTTTTTTACCCATGGCTTTGTTTAAGTAACTGCTCCCTCTCCCCGAATTGATGAACAGTAAACACCAGGAACCCCGGCCAAAACCATAGCTTCCCCTGGAGTCCGTGGAAAAACGCTGCGGGGGTTGGGACTTCGCACGCGGAAAGAAATCGAAGATTTCAGGGCCCTCCTAATTTCATGGCGGCTTGGAGGCTATGAGCACATGAGCCATGGTGAAACTCCTGTGGGTCACAGCCCTTAATTTAGAAACCTTTGCAGTGGTTGAACAATCCTTCAGGACCCTCCGTACCAGCCCCGAGTTCCTTCCGCAGCCTTTGGCCTTGTGATGCTGTGGATGGACGACATCCGTTCGCACCCCTTTGAATCCACGGGGACGCCGTTATTTGGTCAATACGAGGGGGGGGGGAATCAAATCCTTCCGTTGGGTTTCTTGGGTGCTGCCTAGGATTTCGCAACCACCCCACCGTGGCCAGAGCCCCGGTCCAAAAGCGCGCGTTGTTTTTTCCCTCTAGAGCCTGACGCTCAAGATGGTCTCCAGGGTAATGGCCCCCAGAAGCTGGCCACGATCAGCCACGTAGATAACATCGCTGTCCACCAACTTCAGCAGGAGAAACACGTCCTTCACCTCAGGCGCCACCGCTTTCTTTGAGTTGGTCATTGTTTATTTATCGTTGAGTTGAGATTTTGTTGTGTTTTGTTGCTTTATGCTGTTTGTTTCAAATTTGTGTGTGCGTGTGTGCTTCTCTTCTTTTGTTGAGGTGATCGTTGGCGACATCTGTTGGGCGTTTCGGGGTTGGTTCATTAGAAAGGGGAACCAAGTCGTTTCGAGGTCGATTTCATGTTTGGTAAGGCACCTTCTTTAGAAAGACCAGCCAGGGAATAAAAGGGTGCCTCCATTGTTTGGTAGATTGTTTGGTACTTCGCATCAAACGCAAAAACGAAGGACAAAACGGTTTGCCACAGCTGGGGTTCTGGGAGACGAGGCCCAGGGATTTGGTAGCAAGAAACTGGAACCCTTGGAGATGAACATTTCAAGGGCACCTCTAAACCAACAGGAAAAGCGGGTGAACATCACCTCGTCACTTCCGCAATTTGCGGGGGAGGGAGGGGGGCATGGGAGCCAAGCTGCTTGAATGGCGAGGCCTTAGAACCTGCTAAGGGGTCAGAGTGCCTCAACGTTTCCTATTGTGGCGATACCCCCGGCCGGGGAGGTCCTCCTGAGAACATGCAAAGGAATCAAAACTGGGGACCCGGAACTTTAACAAATCACTGGTGGGTTCTGGAGGCATCAATCCGCCAGATAGATGTCCTCCATCAGATTTATGTTGACCCGGATGAATTCACCCATCCTCGGGTTTATCTCTCTTCCTGAGTGGATGGGCCAAACAAGTCACCGAACTGTTTCTCTTCACCAGCAAAATTGGCTCCAAACCCAAAAAGCGACTCAAGTCCGAAAAAAACGGAGCTCAGGTTTCGTTCTTGTTCGTTCTGGGAACCCCGACCCCAAGGCCCCTTTTTCCGAGGCGCTGTGGAGCAGGGCGTGACGCAGGTGGGGCAGGTCTCCACCAGCGGCTCCCCGTTTTCGGGAGCCACGAAGCGCGAAGCCAAGAGATCCCACTCAGAGTCGGGCCCTCGGCTTCTGCCCGTTTCACACGTGATCCGATGGCCAGCACCCGACGGACATGGAAAAAGCGGTTGCGGACTGCTGGTAGACAAGCTTCCCTTGAATGAATGGTTTGGATTGGTGGTTTTGGTGGTTAAGCAGGGGGAAACCCCATTTACCCTCTACAAAGGGGTTCAAGCCGCCAAACCACCAATCCAGCACGACCAATTGGGGGGTACCTGAACCGCTGCACCACCCAACAGCTGATTTGTGGACAGTACTTGAGACTTTGGACATAGGAAAAGCAGTTGTTGCGGACTGCTGCTAGGATTTCGACATGTGTGTGTGTGTGCGTGTGTTTGTTTTCTAATTGGGTGTGTCTTTTTGTAGAGCGCCCCAACAGAGAAAACAGAACACAATGATCAGGTGTTGCTTGTGGTGTCCCTTTGATCTGTATAAGAAAAACAGGGTCTTCTCAACGAGACGCGCTCCCAATTCTGTTTTTACAAAAAGCAGTCCCATTGAGCCTCCTTTAAGCAACCACGGCCAAGGACAAAAGAGCTAGTAGTAGTTTGTTTGTGGTTGATTCCTGGATTCTGAAAAACTGGGAAGCTCCAACCACCCCCCGAGCAAACATGTCGATCACCTTCATGTCGATCACCTTGTGTAGGTTCAATGGACGAGCCAGTTGTTTCCTAAAGGCCCAAAGCAGGGCGATCTGGACACAACCAAAAGACCAGAAATGACCATGGGGCAGGGGATCCCAAATCCAGACAGGCTAGGGAAAACGCAGACCACTCTTGCTTGCTGGAAAATACTTGTGCACCTCCCCAGCGTTTAACCTCTTAACATGGTTATGAGTTGGTTATGACCTACTTAGCGGACTTACCATGGTTTTGGTGGGTTATGACCTACTTAGCGGACTTCCCACGGCTTCGCCCATGGTAAGTAACCACCCACTTACTTCAAGTGCCCTGGCCCTTCAAGAACGGCCCTCGCCCCAAACACACCTTCAGCCTTGGTCTATGTCGTCGCTTACTTCCATTTGCTTCATCGACCTGGGAAAAATGAAAATATTTCCAGTAGTCATAGATCCCCTTTAAAACCAACAGGGGAAAATAACAACATTAAGCAAATGGAAGCTTATCTTCGCCGAGGCGCCATCTTCGAGCTCAAGCACCCGCAGCAGGTTTTCCCGGCTCACGGTACCCCGCAGGAACCCGACGCTCGCCGAGCTCGCCGCTCCGTTGGAGTAGCGGAGGACGGGGAAGTACCTCCGCCCTGTCGCCAAGGCCTGGGATAACTCGAGGGGTGCCTACAACAGAGAATTACAACTACGTCCTCCAGGAGAGAGGTTAGAATCAGGGTGCCGACTTTTTTCTGTAGTCCATTTTAGTAGGGGAACCCTCCCCAAAAAAAGAAAGGGTAAGAAAGGGCACCACTGAAAGACATAGACAAGGTTCACCTTTTCTTGGTTGCTGGAACGACCCCTCTGCAAAAAGTGAATGGCTTTTGGTGTCCAATGGGAAAACCACACGCTTCCAGCAGAAAGTTGAAGTCTCATAAACTTTTGGGGCCACGACTTCACGACTTCCACTGGCGAGCGGAATCCGATCTCGCAGAGTGGCAGGTCGATTCGCTCCGGGCAACTAAGCCCAAGGAATCCCAAGCAGTTTCACCCCATTGACCCCCCGCTAAAGACCTCCCAGGCTTCCAACCGCAAGGGGGAAGGAAGGGTTCCACCTACGGACAGACTTGAACAGGGTTCCCACCTGCTGCTTTCCACCTTTGACATGATGCTTTGAATCCCTAGGTGTACTGGCGTCTTTTCTGTGGGACCCCCTTTTTTAATTACACCTTTTTAATTAAGAGTCCGGGTTAAGATCAATCATCCCACCCTTGGGAACCCCAAAGCCCTGTGGTTTTGCTCTAGGTGGGTGCAGAAAGGACAAGGCCCGGCTGCACATCCGCCATGGCACCTGCAGTAGTTTGCTCCGGGTGGCCATCTGCGGCAAGCATTCCTCGGGCGGGGAAAACTTAGATTCCTGATTTGACGACCCCTCCCCCTCCCCAAAAAGACAAAAATGACTGATTTGACACCCCCTCCCCCTCCCCATTTTTTCACAAAAATGACAAGTTGATCAATAGCTCAAAATGCGTCATTATACTTCACACCCCGTCAGCACTTTTAAGCCTTCTAGTCCGTCTTGGTTCCTTCCAGCTTTCCGGTCACGGCTCGATGGGGCGCAGGACGCGCATCACCTTGACCGCCGGGACTAGGGACTTGTAGGAGTAGGTGATGGCTGGGATGCTGGACAGTGACGGCCACAGAGAGGCGTCGAAGAAGGACAGGGCCACCTGCAAAGGCCAAAGTGGATGTTGGCTGAGTACCTTGAAATGGGAGACAAACAAAAAATGTGGTTTCCTTTTGGTTTCCATTTGAACCACTCCAAAACTTGCATCCTCACAGAAAGGGAACACCCGCAGTTTCCTGTTTGGCTCCATGGAAACAAAGAGGGGGGCACTGCGTCAGGGGGCTTTTCTGGGTTGCTTGTGATTTGCAGAGCCATCAGAGTCTACAGCCATCTTCATGGCGGGAAAAAAAGTGAAAGAGTTCACGGACCCAGATGCGAAATAATTACCCAGAGCTGCTGTTGTGTGTGCTTGTCATTTACATGCTTGCCCATGGCGTCATCTTGGCCTCACAAGCCCTAGGCAAAAGAGGCAAATGCTCACCTTCAATTGCGCAGGGGCCTCGAAGGTCACACCCTTGAGACCATGGTCTAGTAGGATGGGGCACTCGATTTTTTTTGTTGATTTCAAAGACGGGGAAGGTTCTTTTAAAACCTTGTGCCCTTCAAAGACTTGGTTGCCGTGCAAAAAAGTGTTTGACTTTTTGTGGGTCCAATGGAAACATCCACTGCTCAAAGCAACAAGCTCAAGTCCAAAGGTGAAAACCGCGAAACCCGCTCCAACAAGGGAGGACCACAGGGAAGCGATGCGCCAAGCCACCCGGTTGGCGACGAAAATGGCCGTGAGGGCGGAGCAAATCAAAGGCAGCACCGAGTTGGGCAATGCCAAGGTCTCCTTACACCGAAAAGGCCCTGGCGAAAGAAAGGAGCCGATTTTGGGCAGGGAGGTGGTTGCACATCTGCGCCGAGGCCCTCGCCCCTCCTAAACAACTCCCCTTAGAGCACACCTGCACACGGAAGGAATTCGATGGATTCATTCCTGCGACATCTTTGAACTTTGGAGCTGGCCGCAATTGACTTTACCAAAGCTGTGTTGTACTTCGCAAGTGGCATTCCTGTTAACCAATACTAAACCAATTCAAAACTCCTGAGACTACACATGCTTTCCACCAAGCTCCCAAACTATGCTTATCAGGGGTCCCCCTCCAGAGTGTGTTTTCGGCCCGAGCTCCGGGAGTACGATTCCTTTACTAGGCTTGTTCTTGCTTAAAAGTTGCAATCTGAGCAGTTGTTGCTCCAAATCAAGGGAGATCCACTTTCCAATGCAAGTCCAATACTAAACAGCAAACTATCAACTGGATCTAGGCCCAAACCGGCCCTAATAATAAAACTCCCCCCCAGTTGTTTCTTTCTTTTTGTTTGGGAGGGGGGGGGTCTTTAGGGAGAAGCGATTAACGTTCAGCCAACAACAAGCATTTGCTGTTGTGCGGAGTGCAAAGATTGTGCAGCCCTCGCATGATCATCGGGTTTCCTTCTGGCCTCCCTTTGAATCCTTCCCCGACCCGATTTCTAAAGACTTGGGCCGACCCTCTTGGATGTTCAGCCAAATTAGTAAGTAGGTTGTAACCATGGACGTAACTGGGTATACAGCCCCGGAGAAAAAAATATATATATATATATATGTAACATAAACCCCCAACATATGGAACATCCGACAAATCACAAATTTTCAGCAAATGGAAGAATTCACGTCCAATCCATTTCACGCCAAATGGGAGAGAAATCCGCTCCCTCCCCTTCCCCCCCTCCCCGCCCCCACCCCCCGCGGCTTCGGCCGCGGCGCGAAGACCACCACGGCCAGCGCCAGGGCGCGGCAGACCGCGGCGCTGAAGGCGCCGGCGCCCACCATGGCCAGGCGCGCCAGGAAGGCCCCCCGCCTAGACTTTCTGGGCTCAGAGCGCTCTCTCTTTTTTTTTTTGCCCAGCACACAAAAACAGCACCTGGGGGGGGAGGGGTGGGGGGGGGGTGGGGGGGGCTGGTCTTTTAGAGTTTTAAAGTGAAAAGAAATCAACCGAAACCGCAGTTCCCCGCCTGCCCCATAATCCGCCAAAGGGACGGGGCACCAGCAAACTCCAGGGGTCACCCCCGCGCACAAGGGTGACAAACCAACTTTCTGCTTTGGGTCGATACAAGGGATGGTTTATAGGTCATTTCCTCATTCCCTGCTGAGAATCAGCAAGTTGCAGAGAGTGCTAAAGCAGTTTTGGTCATAAGAAGGTGCGGCGGCCCATTCACTGCGCCTATTGAGCAGTGGTCTAGCTCTTAGATGCACGAGAGTCGCAGTGCTTGACATGAACTGCCACGGATTGACCGAACAGACGCCGACACCCCTCAAGGACTCGCCCCAGGCTTGATGTGGCCTTCGCAAGGCACAACAACCCTGACTACCAAATGCGCAGTGCCTCGCTCCGACTACAAAAGAATCGCAAGCATGACTTCTTACACTACGATAGGATCGGTTTCCCCTTGCTCATGACAAGTACGTCTGCATTCCTCTCCGTTAACAAACACGTGTGGCTTCCGTACCCTATCCAAAAAAATGAAATGAGTTCAGGCATTCCCAAGTACAAGACCCAAAAGTCCACTCTGCAGTCCGAAAACTGGGAAAGCATTTGGGAGGGGCGCTGGGCAGCATATCCTGGACCGTCATTGGCCAGAGGAACCAGAAGGCTTAACGGCTCCAAGGTCACCAATGAGCAGGACCTCCTGGTTTGGTTTCATGAGAAATTCTGCTGGGCGTCTGTAGGTCAGTGACGGGCGTGCCCGTGTAGAGCAGAAACTCCACCAGGGAATCCTGCACAGCTCAATGCTGCCAGAAAATAATCAGCTTCCCTCTAACTGGCGCTTTGGGCTTGGTGGTTTGGTGGTTTGGTGGTTTGGTGGTTTGGTGGTTTGGTGGCTTGGTGGCTTGGTGGTTTGGTGGTGGTTGGGAAGTGGTTTCCATTTCACAGCCTACAAGAACCAACCAAAACCACCAATCCAAACTGCCAGTCGGGGTCATTCTTCTGAACCCTGTGTAACAAATGCATATAATTAACCACACAAACCAACAGGACGAACAAACAGCATGCCAACAGCGACGGTCTGGAGCGTCCAGTAACTCTCGGCAAATTACATGGGAAGGCAAAACAAAAAAGTAGCCCACCGAAAACAGCTGGCAAGAAATAGACCAGCCGAGCCGATTCTTGCCGCACCTACGTATCGGACTGAAAGTGCTATGGTCACAGCATCCGCCAGTGGCGCTTCGCAAAGCAAACATGGGCGCTGCGACCAAAGGTGTCGGAATTTGCGCAGAGATGACCGCGTCGCTGCGTGCCCTTGTGCCCGCGAGAGCTTCACTAGGGTGCTCGTGAAAGATGATATACCGCGGAAGCTTCTCTAACTGTCGGATTCCAACCCAACGGTGACCCCCATCATGCTTATTATTGTTTGAGGTAGTGTGAGGTATGTGTATACATATATATATATATATGTCTATATATATATATATGTGTGTGTGTGTGCATGTAGGTGAATATATAAATATATAATGTATATATGTATACCGATATATATATATACGTATATATATATATATGTATCTGTGTGTGTGTGTGTCGTCCCCCATCCCCATGTTTTGCAACAAGTCTCCGGCAGCAGCTGCGCAAAGAGGCGGCCCAGCAGGCCGCCGATGACCAGAGATGGCGCCACCACGCCCGCGGGCAGGGCCAAGGACAGGGCGGCGACGGTGGTGAACCACTTGAAGGTCAGACACAGGGCCTAGGCCACCGATCTGAGGAGGAGGAGGGGGGGTGAGGACAGGGCCTAGGTTATCCACCCCTAGGGAGGAGGGGTGGTGTTTGGGGGTGGGGTGTCCCCCAACCAAGTCTTCCCCAAGCAAAACTACTCCATAAACGGAATTCAAATGGGTTCTACACACATGAATGTCTGGCGCAAGCAAAAACAAAAACCGTTGAGTAGAACCCGTAGACGGGCTGGGCAAACGCTTTGGGGCAGGTGGCAGTTGCCCCAAGAATCAAAGGGCCTTAGGACGCTGAAAAAAGAATTGAACGCCTTCTAGTCTAGGCAATGAAAACTGATCCACCCCCGTCGTGCCTGGAGAAAAGAAACTGGGCCTAGTTGGCACAAGGCTTTGCTCTGAAATGGACCAGGTGTTGTTTTTTTCATGTTAGTCGGGAAGTAAGCCGGGGTGTGTGTGTGTGTGTGCAAAATAAAAAGGATTCAGATCCATCCCAAAAATTGTTCCCTGAGAAAACTGGGACTGATGTACTAAATAGAGCACCAGCGATCCAAAGATCCGGCGAATTGTTCTAAACTTCTGGCTTGACCCGTGCTGCTTTTGGTTCGGGGCAACGCGCAATATGGTCTGGGGTTCAGGTCTTTGGTTGCCCTTAAAAAATCGGATTTGGGAGCAAACAAAACAACGAAAATCCGCCCCCCCCCCCCCCCCCCAATGCCATGACAAATCAGGAGGTTCGACCTGAAGCTGCTTGGAGGGTGCGTAGGGCAGTCATTTCTTCGATCCAAACCCTTCGACTGGGGATGAGTTCGGCCATCATGCATCTGCAGTTTGACAATGTGGATGGACAAAATCCATATTTCATCACTTTGAAACCATTCTTTGTTCGTATTATTGGGGAATCATCAATTTAGGGTTTCTTAGGTGCAGGATTTCGTCCACCCACAGTTCCAAAATCCTGAAAAACGGAATCCCCTTATTACAGGACCTTGGTGAGCTGAGCTGGGCTGGCCATGGGCAAATCTCTGCAGGAGTTCTACAATTCACTTCTTCAAAGGACTCAGAGATGGAAGGTTGCCCTTCTTTGCTAAAAGTGGGCCGAAAACTGACAAGGAACACCACAAGTCGAACCCTGTACTTCTGGTGAACATCAAAATAGGTGGCAAATACATGTTCATCCACCCCAAAATGCGAAATGGAGCCATAGGTTATGCCCCATGGCCATTTGAACTGAGACAAGCCCACGGCAGTTTCTCCCGGATCCCATCGCTCCATCGTTCGCCGGGGCTCCCATTTGCCGGAGGCTGTGGCCGCGGGAACTGCCTCTGGTAGCACGGGGCCGTCCAGCAAAGTCCTCAGCACTGTTCACTTAGCTGGATGAATTATCATATTTCACCAACCTGAAGTAAGGCGGTTGGGAGCGATTCCCCACATAAACCACCATTTGGGGTGAGGCCGTGTGACGTTGTCATAATTCACCAAGACTTAGGTCTCTTACACTGCTTGCTTTCCTTAATCTTGAGCGACTTGTCTCCATGTTTTTGCTTGGGGGGGGGGGGTCTCCATGTTGTTGTTGTTGTTTGGGGGAGGGGGGGGTGTCTCCATGGTTTTGTTGCGGGGGAGGGCGGGGGGCCTTATGGTCTGGGGGAGGACTTGGCTTCTGTTGGAGGGGAGGGCAATTTGCTGCTTGGAGACGTTGTTTGGTCGAGATTGTCTTAAGAGGATAGACCCTTTTCCAATGCACCGCGTTCCTTGAAGTCATTGCGCTTTGAGAAGCCCAGCCGGATAGAAAGCGAAATCGGTTCAGTTGCAAGGGAGCAAAAACACTGGGCACATGTCAGGAAGGTGCTGGATGCGCTGCCTATATGACTCCCCTTGAGATTCGCCTCACCGAAAGGAAACTTGCTTCAATTCAAATGTCAAAAGCCACTGGCTTTTGAGAATTGTAGGGAGCCAGTACGAGTTGTCCAAGGTGGTGTTGAATACCTGGACACTAGGGACCTAAAATCGTGGACTTTCCTTCTCGCAAAAGAGACAGACACTCATATAGGGAGCCTGGAAAATGTGCGAACCGGCGGGGAGAAAAAAAACAAAACGGCCACGGGTCTTGTCAAAGATGGTGGAGATGAGCACAGGCTGAGGCTCCGCCAACAAAGGCAGCCAGTAGCCCATGCGGTTGTTCATCACCTTGAGCCCGGGTAACAGGAACAAGGAGCTCAGGAACGGCTGATGGCCCAGTGCCTTCCGAGCTGTCCGTTTTCAGATCGGAAGAAGTCTAACTTTTGGTGGGTTGAATGGAAACTACCACAAAACCCACTAAACCCTAAGAAGCTAAACACCTACGGGGATGCCGGGGACCACCAAACTCTGAGCTGCCAGGTGTCCAACACTGGATCAGATTCGGTCCTTTCACGCAACCAACCGAGAAAACCTGGCCCTTCTTTGCTGGCTTTCTGTCGTCCAGGGCTCCGACAAAAGCAGGATGGTTCCGGGCCAGTGCTACACGCAACTCGGCTCACTGCAGAGCTCACGTTGCTCCCTGCCCTCCAATTGAAGAGCTTAACTCGGGGCCTGCGGAGAATGGCGGCCGCTGGCAATCATGGGATTTGGTGGCAAAGAAAGCGACTCCGTGGCCGTTTTCTTATGCGCTTCATTGATGCCGTAAGCGACTAGGCAGTCCCCCCGCTTTATGCGAATGAAACTCAGAAACTGGCCAGGCCCCTCCAAAGCTTGATCAGCGAATGGGATATCGTCATCAAACCTGGCAGGAATCCGTTTTTTTTTTTTTTGCAAATAAGCCGCAGCCACAGGTGCTATGTTTGTGGGAGGGAGGGTCCCTTGTTTATGTATTTGATGACCAAGCTCCCGTGCCGCAAAGTGAGCGTGTCTTGGCTACTTTTGCTGCCAGTGCGGCTGATTCTGGGCTGTTCTTGCCATGGTCTCTTGGCAATGGCTAAACACGTGCCAAAAATTGAAATGGCTACCTTGGTAAATGGAACCAAAGACCAAAACCTGCGTAACCCTGGCTCTTCAATTTTGAGCTACGCCCTCTTTAACACATACACCTTCCGCGAAGCTTCCGCGAGGCAAACCCTTCCGCAAACCTCCGTGGCTGCAATCCCATGCACATGTTTGCAAGAATCATATCCACTGAGATGGTACGTGTACCGAGAAAATAACAAACAAAGCTCGACCCCCCCAACACGGGACACACCCGGGGCAGCCCCCACAACGCGAAAGAAAGAAAGAACGAACGAATTAAAGAAAGAAAGAAAGAAAGAAAGAAAGAAAGAAAGAAAGAAAGAAAGAAAGAAAGAAAGAGACGCAAACTGACGACAAGATCTTTCCGCGGCGCGTGTTTGACCGCACTGTGCCGGATGGACTTCTGAAGCGCCTCCTTTGGGGTCAAAGGAGGCGTATGTTTAAGGTCTTAGGAGGGTTCGGAAGTGGTTTGTCGCCCCACCAAGCTTCGCATTGATGGGCCGGTTGAGGAATTGATTTGCCGAAATGGTGTTGGTTGGAAGTGGAAAAATAAGCAGATACCCCACCCCCGTGTCATGGTTGTATGTCTCCTAGGCTATGAGACCTGGGCTAACGGCCTCATACCGACCCTTTGGATCTGATATGCCGAGGCCGCAGTCACCGCAGCCACCAGGAAGAGGTCGCAGAAGCGTGCCACGCTCTGCTGGGTGCCTGGGCCGATCAAAAGGCCTGGGATCCCCCTGCCTTGAGGTGGATGGGGGTGGGGGGTCCCCCAAGTCCATTTCTGTAGTCTTCCCCAGGAAAGGGAACCATGGAATTCCAGGGGTCACCCCCCTCCCCCAACTCAATTTTTTAGGGGGTGGGGATGGGAATGGGCATGAACGCCCTCAAGTTGACTCCTCAGTTCACTTAAACACTGAAAAAGGGATTAAGCAGCCAAGGGCTGCCTTTCTTCCCATGTCCAACCCGGAGCATGCTTGTTGGACAGTCTCGGATCTATGCGGCTCCCAGGTGCTGGCAGGGACGTCCACAGGCCTAGTTTGGACCACCTTCCTTTAAAATGGACGCCATGGACAGGGAACTTTCTTGAAAGATCACCGTTTTGCTTGTTTTGTTTTGTTGGTTTTTGTTTTTTTGTGTTTTCTTTTTTCCTCCTGTGCTGTTCAAAATGGAGGGTTGCCCAATCCTAATCCATAATCCCTATAGGGAAGCCACTACAAAAGGGACCCCGTTGCGTAACCGAAGGTAAGGATTAAGACTTCCCTTTGAACAGGACTTTGTTTTTGGATTGTTGGTCTTCTTCATTATTTTTTATTGTTTTTTTTAACCTTTATCTCTGTGAGCAGGACTCCAAAAAAAGAAACACTCACAGCATTGGTGTCTGCTCAGGAAAGCTCCCCGGGCTTTTGGCGTCGCCTGCCACCCCAACTCCCCAAACGCCCCCGAGCCGAGCGCCGAGCGCCGAGTCGCCGCGGCGTGTGGAGCGCCAGCGCTTGAAGCAGCCGGAGACATAGGAGTGGCAGCTCACCCAGGCCCCGGCGGCCAGGCCGCACAAGGCCCCCAGCACAACATCCAGCCTGGCAAGGAATCCAAAGGTGGTGGGAATCATGACATTCTAGTTCAGGCAATAAAAGCTTGCCTTCAACTGCAGGCAGACATGCAGCTTACCTCTTGGTGGTTGAGATTGGTTTGGTGGTTTGGTGGTTTGCTGTTTCAGGGCGGCTTCCGGTCAGAATTCCCTCTAATTGGTGAAGGGGGTGCTTTCCCATCTATGGAGAAACTCCGCTTCGCGCCACTTGTGATGGAGACAATCCCATGGAGTACGCTACCGACGGGACTTGGGCAATCCTTTTCCCTAAAGACTGAATATTCTAGGAGGAGGGTGAAAAGTAGACCCTGATTGTCCACCATACCCGTGGGGCTGGGGACCCCTAAGTTCTCAAAGTTAGAGATTTACCTTCTTTAAGCTCCTACCCCTCTCAAAATCAAGGTAGGAGTTCGTCTAGGACCAGCAGGGTCGGGGCAAACTTGAGGGCACGACCTGACGGAATCCTTGATGAGATAACTTCATGGAATAAAAGTGCCCAAAGTCAGCTCCTTGGACTCTTCAACTCCTTAGGAACTGGTTCCCCCAAACAACAACCGGCTCTTCCGGGGGTGGGGAAGGCCTGGATTCGGCCGGCTGTTGGGCGCCGTAGTTGAGTTCCAACAGGAGCTTTTTTGTTGAGGCTCTTTGTGTCACAAATCGGCTAAGGATTTTGATGAGTTCCGAACCCTTCTGGGAGTGGGAACAGCGTTTATATGTCCACCAATCACTTTGAGCTGGTTCCGACTCTTGCCATTTAGCAGTCATAGCCATTTAGCCCACCGTGGGACGGACGAACTCCCGCACCGCTTCCAAAACCATTGATTGTTGGCAGGGCTGTGGGGAATGGAACCCACTTCTGTGATACAACAGAAAGGGCTTCCCAAAAACTATGTTGTTCATATAAGGGAGGATTTCCTTGTATCACAGAAGTGGGGAGAAACCCCTTGATCCCACAACCCTGATTGTTGGTAACTACAGGAGAATCGAATCATTTGCGTTGGGTGTCTGATTTCGGTGATGCCTAAGTTCTAATCCAACGTGAGATTCCTTGGACCCTTTGGTGGACAGTGTTGAGGTGGGGATTTATGTCCACCAACCGCTTTTGCTATACAAATAATGGCGCCATTTAGGCTGCGCGAACTACGAATGTGGGAATGAACCCAGGGATTCCTTCAAAGGCAGCCACAAGGGATGATCTATAAGGGTCATTCCCTCATTTTCTGCTGAGCACCGGCAAGGTAGTCTTGGAGCAAAGAGGACACTGTCGATTTTGACTGCCATAGATCTTATGGCCGGCCCAGCTCTCTAGTTCTCTGGGTCTTTGTGACTCGTTTGGAGCAGACATGCTGTCAAGCCACAGGAGCCGCAGAATGGGATACTCCCCCGCGCCCTCGTGGGGCAACACGTTGGAGCTGATCAGCGGCCTACGTCCCATGTTCGTTCACATCCGGTCCGGGTAACTCCAAGAAGAGGGCACCAGGGCACAGGAGGCAAACCAAGCACGGCAAGGAGCAACGACAGATTTGATCCAACTACCATAAAGGGCAAACTAAATGTCTCCTGTACGCAAACTTCAGAAAACCAAGCCAGCACATTGAGCAAGATACACCTTAGTCAATTTCTTTGGATATCATAGAACGTGGCCCCAAATCGTGAATACGTATGCCATATTATGCCCGCAGCCATGTGGGCAACGTTCTATGTTTTGCTCACGGGCCAAGGGAGCGCCGCTGACTTTGGACTGCAGGATGGGGCATTTCTTTCGACGCGGAAGTCCTCTGGTTTGCCCGGGCCTCCAAACCGAAGAAACCTGTGACAACACCTGAGTCACAATCAAAACCCGGTATTAAAATGGTCGACCCAGAACCATGTAAAGAATTCAGAAGGCGGATATCCGCAGCTATTTATGCATTTATGGTTGGGATTGTCCCCTACTAACCTTCATCTACCCGGGTTTTGATTGTGGCTCACCTGAACGATGCCGTGTCGGGAACATCTTAGGATGCAAAGGGGGCGTGGGGATCCTGTGTTCGACATCAACCCGTCCATGGCCCGAGATCCAAAGGTCGACGAAAGGCAGGGCTGGACCAAGTTCTTGTTTAATGGTGTTCAACTATTGGACACCATGCGATTGGCTTTCCCTTTGATTGGAACCAGGGTCGGTTCAAACACACTCCCCTAAGGCCCTACTCAAAACGAGTGACAGAAGCTCGCAGCTGTTGGCGCTGATTGTCAGCTCGGCGGAGTAGGTGATGGCACCTGAGCACCCAAGGGCTGGCTTTTCCCTCCCAAACATAGAACCGTTTGCACAAACGCCCCCTTGATATGAACATTGTTTTTCAGGAACCTTCAAAGCAGGTTCTACGTTGTTTGTGGGAGGGCACCTCTTGGTTGCCACCTGTTGCAAGGGCAAAACAAATTTCCCCGGATGGAGCTTTCAGCATTGCTACTTGTACATTGGTCATTTCTGGCTCGGAGCAGCAACCGATTGCTTGGGGGCTTCACAGAAATCGGCCCTCTGAAATGGTGGGGTCCCTATCGCAAAGCAACCACATTTCAGCGCTGTACAAGGGGCTCCTCTTTTTTACTCAGCTGGTAAAGTTGTTTTTTAACTGACCCTCCTTCAAGGATCTTGCCAAAGGGGATCCACGTGGGTTGCAACATGACCTACAAAGGGGTACATTTGGGGCGTGTGTTTTTCTGAGGCCACGTTTGCTTGTGGGTTTTGAAGGGGGGGCCAGGGGGTCATGTTGCCATTTTCGTGGGTCCTGCAAAACCCCCATGGGACCCCATCTGGAGAAACATCTCGCCCAGGTGCCCACCACTGATGCGGTGAAACAACCCCAGTAGGCCAGCGCGTCGTAGCTCCTCGCAGGATTTGAGGAGCTACCCAGCCCACTTGGGCCTCTCTTTTGGTAGGGGCCACAAGAACGGCAATGTGTTCCTTGTGGTTCCCCTAAAGAAACAAAAATGCTCCCCCAAAACAGGACACTCGTCATAGAGACCAGGAAGTCTACAGGAACTTAGCCAACGTGTCCGATTTTGGTGGTTCAGCTTCTGAGATTGTCGGCAGCCTAGGCTACACTGCCCACATTCGTGGGCCCCACCACAATCATTTCTTGCCGCCTAAATCACAATTGGCAACAAAAGGCTTCCACGATGCCCTTTTCCCAGTGCCACGTAAATAGGGGAAGTGCAAGCGCAAACCACAGAAAACCTAGGGCAGGTCCAAAATCCCTGCAAAGGTTTGGCCCACGGATCCCATACGTGTCCCTTCTGTCTTGGTGACGGTTTACCCGTCTAAAGAGGCACAAACCGTTGCTAATTGAAGAACCCTGCCAACAAAAAGCTTGCGGTTCGCCAACTCAGCACCTGCGACGTGACAAAACTTTTCAACCAAGAAGCACCCTCTCTAAATGATTCCCTTCTACTCCACTTTGCGAGCAATATTTGTATCCAATGTTGAAGGGTAGACTGCTCGCTCCGCAGAGGGGCGTGCAGGGGACCAAGAAGCTGCTCACGCGAGCAAGCCGCAAATCTGTGAACGCTGAATAGCAGTGTGTGTTCCATACGGACTCTATGCGCAACATGCACGCCACCCTACAGAGCCTCCACTCTCCCCCATGTCACTGCTATATGTACTATATGTACTATATAGCGTTTTTGGCACATATAGTACATATAGCGCGCGTCTCGATACCATATAGCACATTTAGTACATATAGCAGTGACCTGGGGGAGAGTGGAGGCTACGCAGGTTGGCGTGTTACAGGTTGGCGTACACCGTATAGCACATATAGTACATGTAGCAGAGAGTGGAGGCTACGCAGGTTGGCGTGTTGCAGGTTGGCGTACACCGTATAGCACATATAGTACATATAGCAGTGACATGGGGGAGAGTGGAGGGGACGCAGGTTGGCGTGTTACAGGTTGGCGTACACCGTATAGCACATATAGTACATATAGCAGTGACATGGGGGAGAGTGGAGGCTACGCAGGTTGGCGTGTTGAGGTTGGCGTACACCGTATTGCACATATAGTTCATATAGCAGTGACATGGAGGAGAGTGGAGGCTACGCAGGTTGGCGTGTTACAGGTTGGCGTACACCGTATAGCACATATAGTACATGTAGCAGAGAGTGGAGGCTACGCAGGTTGGCGTGTTGCAGGTTGGCGTACACCGTATAGCACATATAGCACATATAGCAATGACATGGGGGAGAGTGGAGGGGACGCAGGTTGGCGTGTTGAGGTTGGCGTACACCGTATAGCACATATAGTACATATAGCAGTGACATGGGGGAGAGTGGAGGCTACGCAGGTTATAGTTCATATAGCAGTGACATGGAGGAGAGTGGAGGCTACGCAGGTTGGCGTGTTGGAGGTTGGCGTGTTGGAGGTTGGCGTGTTACAGGTTGGTGTGTTACAGGTTGGCGAATCTCTCTCTTTGGTGGGGATTCTCCAAACGTGATGCAGCTGAGAGGGATTGTCTGTGAGCGCTGCGGCGCCGAGCGTTCAAACTTGCTAAGCAACAGCTATATGCCTAATGGCTATATCTAACGGATTGGCTAAGCACAAAAGCATAAACCCAAAATAGATGTATATACATATATTATTATACTTTACTCAAGATTGAATAGGTTGTTTGTCAACTGGCGGAAGAAGAAGCGAAGCTTTGGGTCTGTATCAGAACACAAAGCTGATGATGCTATCACACCCCCCACCCTCTTTGAAGGTGAGGGGGAAAAATGCAAAGCGAAGCGCCTGTGTGGCCACACTGCAAGGCCCAGAGCCCTAGTGAAATGGCTCGGACTGCGAAGCAAAAAAACAAGACACCCTCGAACCAAAAGCCTTCAACAAGGGAAGTGGAGGGAGGGGTTGAAAAAGCAAAGCATTTGGTCCAGCTAAGCCTATGCATATGCTAGCTGTTGCTTGGGCATACATATTGCATATGCACACAAGTTGAAACACCTGTGAGTAAACACACAAACCGTCATCCCCTCGCTTGCGCACGGCCGAACCCACACGTGAGCCCGGCCAGTCCGTTGTCCGACGCCATCCTCAGACTATTGATAAGGAAGCTTTACAAAGGTGTGAAACAGCCTCCTTGGGAGGCAAGACAACTACCCAAACACAAACAAAAAAGGGAACCAACCGGTCCACAGGCACCCCCGGTGGGGCAAAAGTCAAGTATCCGCCTGCAAGCACGTGGCAAGGCACAAGGCTTAGCCAAGCTGTTCGCCGAAAAGGTCGGTTAAGATTGTCGAAGGGCGCCCTGTGAAAAGCTAGCCACATCTAAGTCACTGAAAGGCAACACGGTCGCCACCAAGGCAACACACTTACACTTTGGAGGACGTAAGTGCCCAATGCCATTTGTCCAAAGCCACACTTGCACTTTGGAGGACATGAGCGCCCAATGGCATGTGTCAAGAGCACCTGCACGTGGGTAGACCCCAAAGCATCAAAGTGGTTATTACAGCTGGGGCTTTCCAGTTGGCTACCGGTGAAATAGATCCTAGCATTTTTGTGGGAAGGACAGATCGATACCGGTCACGCTATCCGGTATGTGAGGCACTCTGGATTTGTTGCAACTTCTTTTTCGTTTCGGCCGCCCTACACTTGTGATTGTAGAAGCGTTTACGTTTCACCCCCGTATCTTCAAATTTGTCATCAGCACAGGGGCGACCGTTGGGAAGTCAGGCCACGGTTTCTTCACCTGATCGGATACCAAAAGCCGCCAAAAGCCCTAAACTTGGCTTGGCAACTCGGCCGACGCAGGTGTCAAATTCGATCGGATGCCAAAAGCCCTAAACTTGGCTTGGCAACTCGGCCGACGCAGCAGCCAACGCAGCGGATGCAGCGGATGCTGCGGGCTTCTGCTCTTCCTGACGACATCTTCGGCCTTGACTACATGATCCGACCCGATATCCAACCGGTGTCGGGGTCCCCCGCAGTTGGGCGCGCAAACGCTCAATCAACTTCTCAGCCTCTTGCTGCACCTCGCGCGGGCGGCACGCATAGGTTCTGAGCATGGCCCGCTACCGGCCAGGCCTTGCACTTGTACTGCAGCTCTCCCCGCTCCTCGAGAAGGACGACAGCGGAAGGAAATGGGTCGAGATGTAATGTGGGATGCTTGTTGCGAGGAGCGATGCTCGTGAGGGCCACTGGCGAGGAGCAATGCTCATGAGAGTTTTCGCGAGAGGAGTTATAATGTCCTGTCTTCTCTGCTTAGGGCGGATTGGCGTGGTCGAGGTTAACAAACTGAGGGCTCTTTACGATGTCTGATCTGTGTGCGTGACCCTCTGCGAAGATCGGCGTGGTCGATTCTGTAATTACACGGGTTTTCCCATCTGATTGCAATGATTTTCAAGAGTGGTTATGGTCAAGTCACGCTGTCTGCGTAGCACATGTCTCCAAACGGGTCAGTCTTCCTTGCGTTTACAGCTTGAAGGACTGGACCTGGTAGAGCCCGCTTGCTGAAAGCTGACGTGCAAAAGAGCGACCTGCTTCTACATGCTCATCCACGCGCGCATTTGCCAAATGCCCTGCCGCAGAAGCAACACACATGGCAGTAAGGAGAAACCAGACCTTTCGGCTGCATTTCTGTACCGCCGTCGAGGTAGAGGCAAGGGGGCATAAGGACTTCAACAGTGCGTGGTACCTGCGTATTAATCTCGTCCTTGGGGCTGCTCGGGTTGGCGCGGTCCGCCAGCTTGATGCAGTCCTCCGTGATGCTGGGGCTGCTAGTGTCCCACCGTTAGTGAGGTTGCAGCTTTGATGCTGAGGTGCAGGCCCGTGTTTCGCTTGCTTGGCCTTGCAGGCTGGCCCAGGCCGGAGGCTTGGAAAGACCGGTGGCACTTGCAGCTGCATCTTGCGCCGGCCGCGGCATCCCAACTGCTAGCGCCGGGGACACCCCGAAAACGCCGCCTCACATCTGCCGACGGCGTGGAGCGCTCCTAGCCCTGCAGTGCTGCGCTGCGCTGGGTCTCCGACAGGCGTGTGGCTATCTGGTAGGAGTCGCTGCCGAAAGTCAACACCCGACAATCTTATCCCCGCAGTGTAAGCTGTCGCTGAAAAGACGCCTGAAAGTCTCAAGCGCCGTCCGAGTCTGGCGACAAAAGAACAAACCTCTCCAACGAGTGTCCAAGTGAATGTCCCCGATGGTGTCCGCCATTCCCGCCACCATCTGCACCAGTGGGCACTACCTTGTTGAGGTTTTCCGTCTTTGGCCCTGGTAGCTCATGCTGCTGTTCTGAAGGCTGCGCTTTCGGCCCGTCGCTGCTTCTGCACCTTGCTTCTCTCCTGTCGTCGCTTTACCTCTTGCTCCCGCTCGGCCCCGCAAGCTTGGTTGATGCTGTGCTGCATCAAGCGCTTGTTGCCTGCTGGTGCCCTTGGTACCTCATTCACGAAGCAAGGCAGCCGAGTCTCCGACTCGGCTTTCTCCCGTGATGTAGACTGAAAGAACCCCCAGCCATTCAGAGTCAGCACCGTAAAGGCACTCTGCTCGGCGCGTTGGGCTGGGGGCAGACGGTGGCGGGCCAGCGGCTGGCGCAGGACTGCTTGCGTGGGCTCAGACAGCTCTACGGCATGAGGACGGCCACAACGAGTGTCCACTTGAAGTGATCCTTAGCCAGGACAAAAAGAGCTATGCAGGCAGAATTGCCGGGTGACGCTCTGCAGCGATGGTGTGCCCTGCAGGGTGGACAATGGCGTCTTGAGCCAAAAAGGCTGCGGATACAAGGTTTGAGGAAGAAACCCTTCAGCCAAGAGAACATTGTTCCATCTCCGATCCCTCCTTCGTATTGCTCAGTTGCCGACAGGAAGCAGAAATAACAGGTTCACCTTTTGGGACCTTGGCTAAATATGGGCCAAGATAGGAAACCAAAAGGTGTATCAGGTCGATTTGCTTTGGAGCATTGGGCTTCTGAAGCTGAACAAAGGCATTCCTTCAACCTGCCTTTTGTGTGGCTGTCTGAAAACAACCTACTGCCCCCACTTGCAATGGAAGACCCGGCCAGTCTATTTTAATAGAGAACCCTCCCCCAAAAAAGTGTAAAAACATTGCTGGGGGACTCTAGGTAACCTACTGCCCCCACCGGTTTTCCCCCCAGGTTGCCACGTAAAACTGGGAGGAGACCCCCAAAACCCCATGGCTCTGGCCCAGGCTCTGGGGCAGCATCAGCTCCAAGGCGAAGATCACCCCGCCGATGGGTGCAGAAAACGTCGCCTCCGAGAGAAGCTTCCCAGCCCCGCCAGAACCCGAAAAAATGCCTTCCATTTGCGTTTTTGCCCCCTGGAAAAAATAGAATATTTCCAGTAGTGATAGATTCCCTTTAAAACCAAGAGGGAAACATATTGAGCAAATAGAAGATGCGCTCGTGGAACGAAAAGGGATCATTACCCCCACAGAAAAGAGGTATGACCCCGGCACGCACGCACGCATGCACACACACAGACACACATACACACGCACGCACGCAAAGCATGTTGCAAGCCAAGCTGGCCGTGAGAGGAAGATTGATGCGGGCCGGAGACGGCCCGCCCCCAAGGGAATGCCCTTTGGTTCCAACTAAGATCGGCTGGCTGGTTGATTGATTGAATGCAATGGTTACAATCAACCGAATTAGGTGCGCAACAAGCGGTCTGGTGTAGCAAACAACCTGATCCATCTCTTCTTGGCTTCCTTAACTACAGCAAATGGAACTCCTTGAGGTCCCAAATCCCGGTGCTTTGCGGAAATATGAAGTCAAGGTCTTGGGGACCTAGAGTGCCGTGATTGCCTCCCAAAGGCTTCACGTCCCCTGGGCATATTCGATCATGTCCAGTTGGAGGCCGATCTGTAAAACCAACGGAGATAAAACAAAAAAGGCAAAACAGCCACTCGCGTTTTGGAACACAAACATTACTTCATCCCCTTCTAGGTCCTCTAGAAGAGATTAGGATAAGGAGATTAGAATAAGGGTACCAACTTTTTCTGTAGTCAATTTTCGCAGGGGAACCCTCCCCCCAAAAAAGGGGAGAAAGGGCACTGCTGCGGGACCTCGCCTTTTGCTTGGTTGCTGTTGGCCCCACTGCAAAAAGTTTAACTTTTTGGGGGGGCTTAGCAGAAACACCTTTGTTTCCCAAAAAGTTTAAAGCCTCAAGATCCAACCCAATAGCAGCCAAGTCAAAGCCCCAACACAAAGGTACCCTCCAAAAAAAGACGAGCCAACCTGAACCAGCAGGTGGGTTTCACTTTGTTGCTGTTGACCCCATCGCCGTCAAGTTCGAGACCTGAGGCCGAGAAAACCGAAAAAGTTGGAGACCTGAGGCTCGGGCCCCGAGGCCCACGGAGCAGGCGGCCAGCAGGAGCTTGGGCACCGCGCCCCGCGCCCCGCTGCCGCCGCAGTGGCCCTGGGGCAAGTGGTGGAAGTAGCCCGGGCTCAGCGCGTGGGCGATGCCTCGCATCGGAAAAAGAAAAAAAGAAAGAACCCAAGGCGGAACCGAAAAAGAAACACAGAGCCCCAAGAAGGCGGTAAAAGGGGGCCAGGATGGGCCAGGAGGTGCCAAGTCCCCACTTTTGGGGGAGCCAAGAAAAGCTCAAAAGGTGCCAGGAATGGATTCTCAAGGTAGTTGTATACTTATAGAAGGGCACGGCCCTTGACGAAAGTAAACCTATTTGTTTGGGGTTCCCGTTGAGCTGGCTTTGACACCCTTCAAAGGAAGAAAAAGCCGATGTCGCGAATGAGGTCTGCCTGCCGGGATGTGACAGGTTTCGGCTTCAAAGTTTCCATATCTTAGTGGTTCATCGATCTCCTGATAAAAGTTGCACTTGGCAGTTGTGTCGCGCTTCCCTCTGAACGCGTCTATTTTCCAGACCCGGGATGTGGCCAGGAACCGATGAGTCAACTATCGGGTTTAGACCATTGTGCAAGTACTAATCCTGCAATGGAGGAAAACACGAAGCCTAAGGTCCAGTTTGATGTATAGGGGTGGCCAAATGTGGCCTGTCAAAAACCTCCCCTTGGAAGAGGTAGGGAAACGCTACAAAGTCTTACATATACATGCATTTGAGTTCACCAAGAATCCCGGTGCCTGTCAGGTAGAGGAAAAAAGAATAGCACAAGGTTTGTGTTGGACCATCCCCAATCAACCTGTACCTTTGCCGGGGGGGGGGGGAAGATCATAGGATTCCCCCTCTTCCCTGGTTTCCTCCAGAGGCGTTTATAAGACCGCACTTGGGAAAAAAACTCAAAGTCCAGACTGGTTATGCTTTCTAACATGGTCTTCCATGTTGAGTCTCAAATCACGAGGAAGCGTGGAAACCATGAAGTGATGGGGTAAGGACGGGTATCTAACAAGGTGCGCCATGTGGATATCTCGTAGTGTCACAAGGGGAAGTGTGGAAACCATGAAGTGATGTGGTGAGGACGGGTATCCAACAAGGTCCAACATGGTGCTATCTCGTAGTGTCATAAGCGGAAGTGTGGAAACCACGAAGTAGTGGGGTCAGGCCGGGTATCTCAACAGGCGCGCCCTGCCCGTGGACATCTCGTGGCTAGCTCGTCCAAGGTGCAGGCTGCGATGTGCACGTTGGGGCCGTCCTTGCCCAGCGGCAGACCGCTGGCAACCCCGAGCGTCAGGGCGACGGCTTTGCACAGCAGGACCCGCAAGCTGAGGTAGTTGAAGAGGACCTCGCCGGCGCGCCGGGGATTGTCGGCTTGACTCAAAAAGAAAGAATCAAAAATCAAACTACGGCACCCTGGAATGGCTCAATACAAAAGAAAACGGGGGGGGTGCTTGCCGTGTTTTGTCTTGGGGATTGACTCAAACAAATGGTGCGTCCTTAAAGGGATGCCAAAACGAAAAACAAACGCCCCCTGACAAGGGGGGTGCCGGTTTTGGCAAAGATCTGGGTCCCAAAACGACACAACCCCAAGTGTTGCCAACAAGTGGTTGGTTACCTTGGTTGCTCCATTTTACCTGCAGGCTAACTACCTCAGGTGGGCAACCAACATTTGCCCAGCAAAAAATGCATCCGCTGGGGCAATCCAAATGGGAAACCGACTCAACAGATGCAAAACAAGCGGGCATGATACAATTTATTTGCCTAAATAGTTGGCTGCTGCAAAGGGAAACCAAAAGGAGAACCACCAGTCACGTCCTGAGTTGATGGGCCAAACCAAATCAAGCTTGTTGTGCCAAAATGGTCCAAGCCCAAAAAAAATGAAATAAAGTCCATGAACTCTGGCTTCGCGGTGCCATTTTGAGGGGGTTCTCAAAACTTCTACCCCCTCCCCCCCCCAAACAAAAAAAAACGGCACGGCCACGCATTTGCACCCACCCCGCCCGGCCTTTCCGAAGAGCATGGCCTTCATCTCGGGGTATCCGCTGCCCTCGGCCTGCCGAAGCTCAGTGGCCAGTCCAAAAAAAAAAACCGCGCCTGTTGGTTGGCTGAAGGGCTTGCTTTGAAACAGCTGGGAAGTCAGGGTTTAGGTTGTTTTCCATCTCTGAAAGGCCTTTGAAAAAGCCGGGAAGTCAGGGTTCAGGATTTTGGCTTAGTTGTTTTCTTTTTCTTTGTTCCGTCTCTGAAAGGCCGAGCGCAGGGCAATCCACTCGACCACTCAGCAGTGCCCCACATACAAATGGTGGTTTTTGCGACTCGCAAACTCATCCTCGGGTATCATAGTGAACGCTGGAGTGAGATGACAATACAAGAAGTGAGAAGTTGGTCCGGCCACAGGTGTCTTGGAGAAAATAGATGGATTTCTCTGATAGATTCTGAAACTTGCCAGGTGAACCAGGCCCAGCCCATCTAGTTTCCATTCAAACAACCAAAAACAGGGGTCACTGGAAACTTCCTCTCCAAAAAAAAAGATCAACTTCCTGTTTATTTTCATTTCAACTGCCACCACACAGGAGGCTCCAAACCCCCAAAAAACAGAGGGACCCCTGAAGGACGCCGAGGCTTGACGAAGCGTTCGCCTCCACGCAGGTCTTGGCCACCAGCCGTGCAGCCAGCGCCAGCGCCACATCCAAGGGCAAGGCCCAGGAGAGGTGCAGGCGCCGGAGGAAGAAGGTGAAGCCTGGCAATCATAGGCGTCCTTTTTGGGAAAAGTGAACTAGCCCTGGTAGTTGATTGAACCACCAGGTAAACCAGGGCCCTCTAATTGTTAAACCAAATCAACCAAAAGGGGCACCTATGCCGGCAAATCGAACATTGCTGGTGCGAGAAGTAGGGAATGAACGAAAAGTAGGGAATGAGGGAATGCATCAATGAACCCAGGCTTTCCCCTTCAAGGAAACCACCAGTGGGAAGGGAATGGGAAATGCAATGAACCCGGGCTTCCCCCCTTAAGGAAACCACCAGTTGGATGGCTTTTAAATCGGTCATTCCATTTCTCATTCCCCACTGAGAACCAGCAACATTTCTCATCCCCTGAAAGTGACGAACTTGTGGGTTAAATGAACTTCTCCCAGAGCGGATGCCGCGGATCCGTTTTTGGATCTGCTAAACGTGACGAACTTGTGGGTTAAAGGTTCCCCCCCAACAAAGAATGGGCGTAACTTGTGGGTTTAAAGGGAAACTATCACTAAACCAAATGAAAGCCTGAAAAGCTAAGGAACCGAACGGCTGGGAACACCAAGCGAAATGGGCGGCTTCCTGGTCACTTTCCATTACAAACCATCCAAGGGCACCCAAGAAAGACATGCCCAACTGACATCGATACATTTGTTGAATCGCCGAAAAGGGTGAACAACAGATGTTAGTCATGGGCCATGGGGATCAATCACTATGGTACGACAAAGGCCCTCCCCGTTTCCCCGAGAAACAAAGGCCATGTGTACCTTTCATGTGGCGGTTATATAGTGGTTGTGCCTCTGGGGCAATTAGTGGCTCTACAGCACTGAATGGACATGTGGTACATGAGAAAATGAAACAAGCACTGAAGGAACAACAAAGCATCAACGACGATTGAGATCCATTCACTTAGGCTCCCACGCTGCAGGGGCCAGGGGGTGTCCCAAACAACCTGCAGATTGTTGGCATCCTCAAGAAGAGCCATGCATCCAATCCTGCCAAAAAAGGGAAGCCATCAAGTCTTCCGGAAAAAATACACCTATCCCCCCAGTTACAACACCTGCCTTGGCACAGGGCTGGCAACCCATTTTCTTGGCCACCGCCCTGGGCGGGAAAAATAAAAACAGAAAAACAACCAAAAAAAACAAAGAATCATATCTTTAAGATCTTTATTAAATAAGAAGAAGAAAAAACAAGCGGCCGGGCCGCCGTCGATGAAGAAGGACAAAGAGCTGGCAATCAGAGCTGTGGAGAGGAGCAGCACCCAGAAGTGGAAGAGCACCGACTGGTTCTGCACCACAGGAGGAAGAATAGGACACATTTGGCCATGGGTCAAAATACCGTACCCCCAGTGAACATCCCAATCCCCATGCTAAAATAGACTAAGATGGGTGGTACACCTACCCCAAAATAGTACGATTGGTGTTGACCCACAGCCATTTGAGGGATGGGTGGGTAACTTGGGGTGGGTACGGCAGGATAAGATAGGATAGGGCAGGGTATGGTAGGGTGGAGTGGCTGAAGAAAGTCTGAACTGTACCATTCAATTCCCTTCCCAGAAAGCAAGCGGATGCAAGGGGACCTCCAATTTGCCCAGCTGGCTTGAGAAAAACTCAAGCCTCCCTGGCGGGGGGGGGGGGGGGGCACATGGCAGCTTCGAGGCGTAATCGGCCAGCCAAGCTTCATGCAACCGCTTGGTGAAAATGAGCCGTACCCCTAGATCCACAATAATTTCGTTCTGGGACGCGTACCATCTGGCAGAAGGATGAAGGTGTGATTTTGCAACATCCCGAACTGGGAAACCCATTTTCCAACAACTCAGCCAAAAGGGGGGCACGTTACTAGAACGGCAACTGGAACCACGGATTTTCCGCAACCGAGAGCCTCTCGACAAGAGCTCCCGCGCCATGCACGAGGCTTTGAACTTTGGGCGACACCAACGCAAAACGTTCATACGAACATGAACGGGCAACCCAGCATAACTAGCAGTAAGGGCATGTTCTTTTTTGGGGGCATCCTTGCAAGGGTTTGGGATTGGGTGATTTTTGGTGAATTCACAGAAGGGTGGCAATGCGGGACATCCCTGAAGGCCTTTAAATGAAGCCTCGGGGGCAACCCCAGCCCACTTGCAGGTTCAGTCTCTCAGCGCTCCTCTCTCTCCAGGTCTTCGCAAGAGGCCGCCATCCATCATGGCACGTGCCACGGGCGAGCGCGCTAAGTTGGTTTCTGCCCCTCTAGAAATTGGAGGGAACCAAGAAGACCTCGAAACTGGCTGGAACATCCAGGTAAAAAATACATCCAGGTTTAAAAACACAAAAACATCTTACGTCAGGATTGGCTTGGCAAATGGGTGCCAGCATGCCTGCGACCTAAAACGTCGTGAGCCTGCAGGGAATTGATTCAGAGAGGCATTGATTCATCGGGTCTATCATGGGAATTGCTTCGGGGGGCTGATTTTAGAGCAGATCCTTCACTGTCACGCGTCGGGGTTCCTAAAGGCCCACAGCAAAGGCAGGGATCGCCAACATCGGGTTACAGTCTGCAAAGAAATCCACTGCTTGGAAAAGGGGTGTGTGTGGTTTCCTTCTGGTTGCAATGCAAATTAACCTGCAAAGTGTACCCTCAAAAAGCGCACGCCGATATGGATTGCATGAGCCGACGCAAGCACATCTCCGCATGTTCGCTTTACGCCCTTCGCCCGCTCGAAGCTTGAGCCTCAGCGATGTGAGATCTAAGTTTGGCAAACAATACGGATGCCTCAAATATTTCAAGTAGCCCAAACATACTCAACCACAATACCATGGCACATTGCCATACCGGGTTTCTTTATGACTCTTCCTGCATTTGCGTGCAACATTCGGGATCGTAGCTGGCCAACGGTTTGAAGGTCGACACTGCACAAGTGAGCGTCATCGGAACGCTGAAGCACAAGGCCCCCAGGTATGATCTGCCCACTCTCTCGCTCTCTCTCGCTCTGTGTGTGTACGTGTGCGAAAGATTGTGTTGGACTTGGCCGTTAGGAACTTCCAATTCAATATCCCTCCCCCGTGGTTTCCAAATATAAACTTTCCCGTTCCCCTGGGCATCCATGGGGGTGAGCGCAGGCCGAACAAGCCATGCACTACTCTCTGGGAATCAATGCCGGTGAAACAATGAAATCCTCTGAACCGGGCACCCCTTCCTCATTGACCAGTTCCCACTGAAAAGCGAAGGACTGTTGAAGGACTTGATCAAATGGTCGACACAAAAGCCGTTTGGCCCGCTCAAGGACATTCAGGGGCCACTCAAGACCTGGGAAGCGTCTTCCAGGAATCGATGTCTTGAGGTAATCCGGGGCTCGACGGGTCGCGTCCGGCTCATTGTGGCCCCAGTTACTATGTTGGGAGAAAAGGAGGATATGCCCATTCAAACCCCTAGCAAATGGATCATGACCGTGACGGTGGCAACTGGGACGGGGTTTGTTGATTTATTAACTGGTGAGAAAAAACTGCTTACTGAGTGGGCTTGACATCCAAATCTAGAGGGGATTGAACAAAAGCAAACCTCACGCCTCTTGTGTTTCAACTTTCTTATGGAAAATTGATGGGTTAGATTCCTGCGAGTTAACATGGGACACACCACCACGATGTTGCAGGAACCTCTGATTCGTACAACCCCGTGTGTGGGTTCAGTAGGAAGCCTTCAACATTCCAGCTCCCAGCTGTAAAACATGACCCCCTTCTGTCTCCTGTTTTTTTCTGACCACAAAAAGGAACATGCGCGGGGAAAACCCCTTGGCGGGTGTACTTTTGTACTGCCTATGTTGCCACTGCTTTCTTGAGGGTATTGAGCTGCTTGGGTCGCCAGCAAACTAGCGCCGTGTCCATGGATAACTTCTTGGCCCAACCAACCAAACAGGGAACACCGAAACACAACATGTTCAGGCTGCATTCCATAAATCAGTTTACAGAGTTCTCAAGAGGACACACACACAAAATCATCAACTAAGGTTGTGCAACTACCCCATTCTGAGCGGAATCCGCAAGCGCATTGAGCATGGCGTTGGGCGCCATGTTTTTCTCAGTTGTTCAGCGACCCTGGGAAGAAAAGGGAACCCTTTTTGGGGAAGACCTTTTTTAGTGGGGCAGCCACCAAAATGGGAAAACGGGTGCCACTGAACAACTGGGTATTCGTTTTTGCGGAATGCCTGCCTGGCCTCAAGAAGGACACTTGCCTGGATTTGAGTCCAGGGTTGGGCCCGTACTCAGCCAAGTTCACCCTGATTGGGCCCTTGTACTTGCAGTAAACCGCAGGTTTGCTGCTCGCTTCATAAGTGGAAGGCCGTGAAACTTTGAACATTGTGAAAGCTTGCATTTGGAAACCCATGCGATACCCAAGTTGGCTTTCCGGCCCTCAGTTTCCCCAGCCCCTTGGAAAAGTTCTCCTTGAACCCTTTCAATTACAAGATCCCCTTAGGTCCGGGTCTCCTTCTGTCCGAATTCGAGTGCATTTGCGAAGCCCGAAGTCTAGGCGTCTGATGCGACTCCGGCAGCTCGAAGAGCCTCCTGGCGCTTTGAAGGAAGGAGCCTATGGTACTTTTGCCCGGGAAAACAAATGTGCCGACCCATCTGATCTACAAAACGTCCTTATTGACCTCAAGGTCGCTCAGCCGGGAGGGATTCATGCAATGGTTCAGCCCAAGTCCCGGATTCCCGTAGCTCGATTTTCCTTCTCCGTGGACCTGTAGGGAAACCACATCCATCTGAAGCAAAGAATCGGGGGGTGACTTTGGACAACTGAAGCAAAGCACTGGCATTCCTTGGGCCTTGCTCCCGTTTGGAATCGTAGACAGCACGGTAGAGTCATGGTCTTGCAAGCTGGGAGGTTTGGCGTTGAGCAGGACCCGACATGTCTGGGAGTGCAGCCTTGCAACTTTCCCTCAATACCCGATATGCGCAAGGTTTTCTTCCCACACACATGCGCTGTTCATATTGATTGGGGGTGCGGCAACGTGCGCCTATAAAAAGTGCCCTTCTTCTTGCATCGGCAAACAAACCTTGCGTAACCTAACGTCAAACATGGCTGCGCTAAAGGGCACGGCTCAGTTGAAACCCATCGAAACAACATGCCGGCCCGAAACGCATTGCGCGCATCGCTGCACGCCTGGTACGCCTGGCGGCTGGCCAGGAATAGCTCTTTCTGGTCCTCATCAAAGTAATAGAGACCTCAGACAGCGCTCTCTTGCCAAACAACTGAGCCATCAGAGTGATGAAGCTTGCAAAACCCCTACATCTCTTTTTGGGGGCAAACATCGCATCTGCTATTGCAATTGGTCAGGGGCTGGGCCACGTAATCTGGAGATATCTGGAGTTACACAATTGGTGGGTCCCGAAAATATGCCAAGTGTTGGCTCTATCCGCGTCAGCAACAAAGCAGCCCTTTGCCAAACACGTGGCAGAATCGTTGAACCTTGCAAGCCCTAAAGCTCTCAGGCTCTAAGCGCCGCCGTTCACAGCATGTTCACAGCAACTGAAACCTGGACCCCGAGCATCGTGCGCCTTTCAGTATCCTCAATGCGCTCAACTCGGAAATGCTGCCACACGACAGTGCTGAAGTTTAGATGCCCGTGCATTGGCAGCTGCATTCTGCTGGTTGCAAGGCCGGACGCTTTCGCAGGAAATCCATTTGCAGGCCATCGTTACCCTCCTGCTGGGCCAGGGGAAAGAACCAATGTCTAAAACCGGCTAACCGGGATTGTGCGCTCAGCTCACGTTGCCGCTCCAAAAGGAGTTGAAAGGCTTCCAGGAATCAGTAGCGAAGGAAACCAATGTAATGCGAACCGCGCTGGCTGCTGATTTCACACATTGTTTTTTGCATTCATGTGTCGGGCAGGCTGCATCCCCCTTCACGCGCTATCAGTGGGTTTGGTGACAACACAAATGAAAGCCTGCAACCATGTCGTGTGTAAGGCAGCAGCACATCCCGCCTGGCCAGCATTTGCAAATGCAAAGGTTGACGGAGGGCGGTCGATAGACCCTTTTACCTTTTTTCTTTGGAAATCGGGGTTGGCCAACAAAAATCTGACTTTTGATACAAAAGGGGCTCGACGGGCGCCTAGATCAGCCGAGCTAGCTACTTTACCCGCTGGTACCAGGGCTATCCCCTGAAAGAGGGGGACTGAAAGGTGGGAAACCAACAACTTGCTGACTGGGCGGAGCACCCAAGTAGCCACTCTGATTTTCGTTAATTGTAAGCTGTCAGGTGGGATTCCTGACTAACCACAGGTTTCGCCTCAAATCACCCCCAAACAAAAGAAAAGCCGTGGATACTCGTCTGAAAACACAAAATCCTTTGGTACATAGCGAAAAATGCATGTACATTTAGAAAAACTGTTGGAATGTGAGGGCCTTTTCTTGACCCTGCCTTGTTTTTGACCCCTGCTTTTCGTTCAACCCCCCCTTTATTTTGACCCCCTCCATCGGTGGTTTGCTTCCCGGGCTGCGGTCGGGCCCGAGTACAAAACGAATGCGGCATGCTGTTGGGGCTGCCACCTGAGCTTGTTCCACCTTTGGAGCCTGACCGTCCGGTATATTTAACTAGGTCCTCCAGTAGAGAGGTTAGAATAAGGGTACCCTTTTTTCAAAAGTCTATTTTAGTAGGGTAAACGAAAGCTAGCAGTGGCCGCATGAGGGCATTGGCCCAGCGAACACTCGGCCCTGGAAGGGATCTGCCTGTAAGGGTTCTGCTTTTGGTTCCCGGCGCAAACAAAGTGGTGCCTTAGAAAGGGTTTTGGACTAGCTGAGATGAACCCGTGCGCAATCTGTTTGGCCCAAACAATTGAAAAAGCCAGTCTTTCGGCATTTCAGCCCCTAAGCTCACATCAGGACTGGTCCATTCAATTTCACCTGTGTGAAAGTAGATGGCACATTTCTGCTTTTGTGGGCAAGTTGCAAGTAGTCAGGGGGCTTTTTTAACCAACATTTGTCCGGATTGCATCACTTTTTCACCCAACTCGCGTCAACTGGCGGTTTGGTTGTCCTTCGACCGATCGAAGTTTTTGTTCATGAAGTCTGAGAGGCCGCGCCGCTGCGGTACTGGGTGCCCACGTCATTGCCTTGCGTGGGTGACGTGAACTGTGCAACCTCAAGCCGTGGAGTGATGCTCAAACCGTGGCCAAATGCAATAGATGAGCAAGAAACAAACCGGTAGCGGCCTAAGGACATTGGAAGAGAGGTGTCATGTGTCTTTGTTTTCTTTGGGCCCAATCGTTCCTACAGTTCTGCTTGTGTTCCTGCACACGTCAGAGCGGAAGTAATAGTGGTGCCACTGGGATCATTCCCTAATCCCTGCTGAGAACCAGCAATAGCTGGGCCTTGCGACAGATGGGCGGTGTCGCAACTCTCTTTGACATAGCCACGGTTTGCATGCTGAACACGCGAGTGCAGGTATTGGCACCAGTATGTCGCCTAGAAGGTACGCTGATGCCGCTACTTATTTATTTAGTTATTTATTTATCTATGTCTATCTACTTACTTGTATATCATATATACATATAGTTGCCAACCACTGGCCAGGGGTTGCTTGGCCTCACTTCCTAGATTGGCTCAAGCAAGTTCAAACTGTTCTCTTCGGCAACTTTCATCTTCCAAACAAAACACTTGGGGGTCTCTTTACTTTTCAGGGTTCCCGTTTTGGGGTGGGTTTTAAAGAAAACCAGCATGGAACTATGAAGAACCATTGGGCGGGGGGCTGGAATATTGCCGGTGCTTTCCCAAGTGCGCTGCCCGCTCCGCTTCCGGCAAGCCCGGAAGCCCATTACACGCGGCCCCTAGAAGGCACACAGGTTTCTTTACAGGGGCGATGGCCTATCCCCAAGAAGGTGACGTACGTTGGTTTTCTCTTTGGGTCGCTTTGGACACCATTCAGTTATTGAGACCGCTGTCCACCAACACCTTGAGGCGGTTCCATCTCAACATAGGCATTTCACGCAAACATGGAACCGAACTTGAGGTTCCTGAAAGCTGGCTAGCTGAAACTAAAGAGGAACGTCAGTTGATTGGGTTCCACGTCAGTTGATGGAAGAGTAGATCATAGAATCTCTCTGAAGCGTTCCCCGGGCCTTGTCCCATATGCTGCGTGGGATCATGAGCCTGGCGTGGCTACAAAAAGGTCATCTAAATAGGGTCACCTAATTAATATGGATGAATAAATGCAGGCAGACATATCTATGCAAACATATGTGTATATGCGTCTATACACATCTAATAATACTAATAAGAAGAAGAACATAAACACTTGCTCCTTGCCCACCTCCCACCAAGGTGGAAACCAAACAGGTGGTTCCTTTAAACTGAAAAACATGCCCCCCCCTCCCTTAGGACCTCCAATCAGGTTCCAACTTGGGAGGGCATATGTACAAGGTGTGAGGTGGGAGGTCGGGAAAAATAAAAGGTCACCTATCCCACGTTGGCGTTCTTTGGGAGGAAAATAAAATCAAAAAAATCGCACCCGGCATTTGGCATATATGTGTGTATGTCTGTGTGTGTGCCCGCGCATGTATGCATGCATGGTATGCATGTACGTATAAATGTATGTATAAATGTGGGTAGTGTGTGTTTGGGAGTTGCCTGGAGGAACCACCAAACCAGGGGAGGATTATTCCAACGAGCTCACCCGTGACGCAAAAAAAAACAAAACAGGTTGCGCAGCCCTCGGCCACAAACCGCTGGTTGATCCTTTGGACACACTTAACGTCCGGTAAATGCGTACCTGGACCCTCAAAATTGCCAACTTAAACATGGGCCGCCCCAAAATGAGGAGTGAAGTCTGTTTTTTTCATGGGTAGTTTTTTTGCGTCCAGGTATAGGTGCCTGTCTGGTTGCTTTTCTCGCCGTCTTGCATGGAGAAATCCCTGGGCAAAATACCTTCATCTTGGGTGAGCCTGCCTCAGGTGAACTCACAAACACCTGTGGATAATGATACATGTGTGTGTAGGAAAACATAAGTTTCAGGATAATGAACATGCCTGCATACACGTACGCTTCATTGCAAGTCACTCGTCCACAAATGGTGACATGTCATTCCACCTCTGCCACACAAGGCCAAGTCCACCCCCCCCCCCCGACCAACTCGTGCGTATGTGGAAAACATGCTATTTCACTTCACCTTCAACGGTTAAATCATATGGGCTTGTCTCTAGAAGACTCAGCTCAGCCCGCTTCTTTTTGCATCCATGCTCGGCCTTTTGAGGTGTTAGGGCAGCCCTGGACCTACACTTTTGGGCACCCAACAAATGTCCCAATCAGCTCATTGTATGCTTGTTTTACGGCCAGTCGCCACAAAAAATGAAGGATGTTGACACAAGGTGACAACTGGTTGGCGATCGCCTTCGCTCAAGTGGGACAAAACACTCATGTCGTCAGCAAAAGTCTATACCACCTAAACGATTTCACCGTACGCTCTAGCTGCAGAAACTGGGAAATGGACTTCCTCAAGCACACATTTCCGTCGGTCCAATCAACAACCGTCTCCGAATTTCCCTTTGGACCTGCATGACCTGACAATATGGGAAATCCGACGGACTAGAAACACCAGCCCACTTTAAGTTGACCAAACAGGTGATGTTCCAAACCACCAACCAAAGGGACGGACATACTCGTCCTCCGCATTCGCACATTCGCCCGGCTGCATCAGCTCTCCTCCCAGAACCACCGAAGGACGTCAACCAAGTCGATCTTGAGAGGGTCGAAGATGACTTGTACGGCCTGCGAGCCACAGGCGATCCAGCCTCAATCAGCTGGGGTTTAAATGTTAGAGGAACCGAGCTGGCACTGGTCACATCTAGCTCATCCTCCGCAATAGGGTTGATGATTCTGGCCCTCATTTGGGAACGGCGAGGAGGGTGCATCTCTTGAGCCAACCCTGAAAACCCGTTTAAAATTACCGCATTTTTGGTGAGGTTTAACATGCAAACGCCCGGACAAGAAACTCCAAGATGTCCGATGTCGAGCCGATGTCAAGCGGCCGAGGGCACCCAAGGCCCTTGGAATACAGAAAGCTTCAACCGCTATACATACATATCTATGTATACATATCTGCAAATATATTTTTAGAAACCGGCAAACTCCCCAAACCAACACTTGAAGACGGATGATCCTTGGACACTTGGGGGTTTGGACATGGGAAGAAGCCATCGCTGGGAGGCGGTTGGCGGGGCCTCTCGCACTGCCGATTGCCACCCACAGGATGTCTTGGTCTCCGCAGGTTGGGCCCTGTGAGAAGCAAACAGACAGTCCAAACCAACCAACCCAAGCCAACCCAAACCCAACCCAACCCAAACCATACAAACAGACAGACAGACAGACAGACAGACAGACAGGCAGACAGACCAACCAACCAACCAACCAACCAACCAACGAACCAACCTGGGAAAATCAGAGACTAATCTCTGCTAATCAACCAAGGCAGCAAATGCACCTTTGTCACCTTGAGCCATGCAATGGTAATCAGTATGAATTACATCCAAGTGGGAATGCATGGTGTACTTTCGCACGCCCCCTTGGATTAATGGAAAATGTGGAATTAATCCACACTCCACTAGCACAAATGCATTCCAAAGAATGCCAAGCTGCCTTGAAATCTTTTCTCTCTGCAAAATGTCTATGCAAAACGGGTGACCTAATCATCACCAAAAGAATTGCAATGCTGGGAAATGCACAAGGACAAGTGGTTGAATGTATTGTGGACTCGAATCACAGACAGAATGTGTTCCAAGAGTATCGCCTCCAGAATCACCAGAAAACGTCCTCTCAATGTATTGGTGTCATAGATGAATCCAAACCAAAAGTAAACTGTCATCTACAGTAATGTTGTAACTGTACCTCCACACAAATGCCGAAAACTGAATCACAAATGAAGTGGCAAATCGAACCAGGCAAAATCGCGATATCCAATGAACATAGAATCTCAATGCAAATCCAGTGTGGAATAAATGCATCCAAATCGGTGCCTGGCCAGAATCGAAATCCCAGCTCCACCAATGCTGAATCACAGCTTCGCTCTGTAGTATGAATCTACCAGTGACTTGGGAATCTCCTGGTAGTCGCCCATGAATTTGTCCAATGAAGTCTTCCAGGTCTTGGGAATGAACATGTGGTAATCCCGGTACCAATGGGAATTGCTTTGCTGCAATGAATTGGCAGCGAGCATCAATTCCCCAATCTGGGCCTTGATATTGAATCCGGCCATGGAGCAAATCTCCTCGTCCGCGAATCGGTTCATGAAAATAAAATCCTGGAACCCAAATTGTTCCTGTTGCTGGCCGCTGAATAGAATCTGCCACAACATCGTGGCCGTAATGAATGCCTTGTATTCCGAAAAATTCGTGCGCTCCATCTTCAAATCTCTTGCGAGAATCCGGTGGAAATACTGTCGCGTCAAATTCCGGAATGCGGGCTGTCCATCGCATCGGTCGAAGTAAATGCACACCGAAATGTCAGTCAGAATGTTGAGCAAAACAAATGTTGCAGTCATGCATGAAATGGCTTCGAATTCACTCGTGGCAAAATGTCTTGACTACTGACTAAGTGAAACAGAATCATGTTGACTATCTACTACCTGAAGGGCAAATCCCTAATGTGATGTTATGCCTCTGCAAAATTGCCTTGGCAACATACTTGGTTAAAATGTCAGATGGGTTGAGGGTTCCCGGAATCTTCTTAATCACCAGGGTCCCAGAGGAAACCAGCTCCTGGACAAACAGAAATCGCAATTGGACATGTTTGGTTTTCCGGGATGCCCCAAATCTGACAGCCATGCTCTTGCCTGCAGTTGAATCGGTAAACAGAATGATGTTCACCTTGGGAGCCACAAGGGTTTCCAGAATCAAAGATTTAATGAATAGGGCCTCGGCCGCACCACTTCCAATAGCATAAAGTTCGGCTTCCCCACTTGACAAGGCAATGGTGGCCTGTGTTCTGCTGTGTGCTGAAATGTTGATGCCGAGAATGTTCAATGCTACTCCTGATGTGGACCTCCTGGAATCGGTGCAACCTGCCCAATCGCTGTCCACATAGACCTTTATGTCCAATGATTTCACCTGTCTTCCAATCCGGAAATCAGGTCTCATAACATGGACATAATCCTTGGTTCCACTCAGGTACCTCAACAATGTCTTCAACTTAATCTTGTGCACCTCAGTGGGAGCAACCAATCCTCGTGACAACTCCTTAACAGCATACATGATGTCAACACGCAATGCTGCAAGCCACAACAATTGTCCAACCAATCTCCTATACAATTTATGCTCTTGCGAATTCAACAATTCGTTGTCAAGCAACTTCCGCAATGAATCTCCTCCTGGCGTCTGAGCCGGCTTGCTCTTGGTCATGCCATAGGAATCCAGCATGCGGTCAATGTAATCAGGAGACATGAACAATTCCATGGAATCTGATGTTCGGCGAATCTGACGTCCCAAGAAGGAGACTGTCTTACCTTCACTCAATTCACCTGTCTGCCGAATCAGAAGCACCTTCTTCAAATCTTGCATCACCTCATCAATGTCACGTCGCTCACCTACAAACATCAAATCATCGACATAGACCAATGCCCACAATTTCTTGGTCTTGTGTCGGTACAAATTCGGATCTGACTTCAAACGCTCAAATCCCGCGTCAAGCATGGTCTTGGCTAAATGCTGTTGCCATGCCTTTGGCGAACCTTTCAGGCCATACAATGCCTTCTTCAATCGCCAAAGTACGCCCCCTTGAGGGTAGTACTCCTTTGGAGGAATGACAAAAATCTTCTGCCACAACGTCGCATGCAAGAATGCGGTGGACACGTCTGCAATCACAACATCCAAATTCATGGCAATGGACAACGCAATCAACAACTTCAATGTGGACAAGCTTGGGGTAGAAGCGAATGTGTCATCCTTATCTTCAATGTATTGGTCAAAGCCACGGGCTACCAATCTACACTTCACTTCTGCTCCTTTCCAAGACTTAACCCACTTCATTGAAATTGCTGAATCAACTTCTTCCTGCGTCAAATCCTCGGTTTTCTCTTCTACATACGAATCAAAGTCCTTCATGGAATTCATTTCCTTGTTCATTCCTGCCTCTTCCAAATCTCTGGGGAATTCAGACTCTCCCCACAGAATCGGATTGGCAAATTTCTTCATGTTCCCTAATTCTTCTTCATCCTGGTTTACATGAATGGGCAAGTCCAATGACTCACGCGTGGTGACTGTGGCAATCCTACAATCTTCAACCAATGTGCAACCAAACTCGCATGGCAGAATGGCAGAAATGTAGCTTACAGTAGAATCCGCTTCAGGAATCTCTGCCTGCTCACTGGTTCTCTTAATGCCTCTTGCCTCTGCCAATCTGCGCCTATTGGTTGGAGACTCCGAATGCTCTCCAGGTTCCCTGTCAATGTCCTCATGACCTCGCGTCAATCCTTGGGACAACTGGGCTGACGAATCCTCACCAGTTCCATCGTGATCTGGCTCCTCTGTTTGCTCGTCAGTTGGTGGAATCCCCAAAGGTGGCTGGGGTTCACCTTTCTGGAGCACAGCAGAATCACCCGGAAGGATGAACGAATCCGTTTCGACCTTGGATCCTTTTGGATCCCATGGCAATGCACGCAACCCTTGCATCAAATCTCGCTTGACTTGTGATCCCGGCTGAAGTCTCCGAATGCCTCGCACCTTGTACACAGCATTGGAATCCGCCACAAAATGCTGGTCGGATGTGGTGTCACGTCCAAGCCAAATGCCTGAATGCCACGATGGCTCAGACTTAGGCGCAGGCAATCGGAACTGCACAGACTCGGCAATTCGACACAATGCACCTCCATACTTCTTTCCCCATCGTCGTTCAAATGGAGTGAATCCATCAGACCGATGAAGAAACCTGTTTAGAAGCCACATGGAGTGCTTAACAATCCAAGGAAACAATGGCGAATGCACGCTAACCGACATGCCATACCTATGTTGAATGTCAAGCTTCAAAGCACGAATCTGAGCATACAATGTTGCTTGCATGTTGGAAATGGATCCCTGAGCTTGCTTCCAGCCAGTGGGAGCTTCACGGTATGACAATCCACCAATGTCACCCGTGACTGCCTCGACCAAGGCTTTTAATGAAGCTTCAGGGTCGCACTGAACAATCCCAAATGTCCTTCCAATCTCCAACACGAATTTCCTCAACTCTGCTTGCGCATACACAATGCGTCCTTTGGACGGAACAACGCACGCCAATCCCATTCCACTCAGTACATCAGTGGCCGTGAGCAATGTCACCTGTGTGTCACTTTGTGAATCACCCATAAAGGCGTAATCCACCTGAATCACAGGTTGCCGCACCGAAATGGCACGACTCTGGTTTTGCTTGCTCTTCGACCTGACGCAAATCTCACACCATGATCTGAATGGCAGATGAGTCAACTCATGTTCACGAATCTCATCGTCCGTCGGCTGTTTGGGAACGTACAATCCCTTTGGCCGTTGAGCCGACATTTCCGGAATGTCCGGGTTGCTCTCTTCCAAGAATTGCTGAGACTGCCGACGAAAAATCGTCGCGCCTTTGAATGGCTCAGGAAATTCCGTAGCAGCAGCCTCTGGGTCAGCCCAGTGGTCGTGAATCCACTGGAGTCTCCCGTTGAGGAACACAGCCAATGTGTGCCTCTCGTTCCCCAGCAATTCCTTGGAGGGAGCGGCCGAATCGGTCTCATCTGGCACATACAGACAATTCCTCCACTCATGGTGTATCCTAATGTCAAACTTGGGTGTGAGGTACCATTCATCATGTCCGAATGGTCCTCCTGTCTCCGGGTCACTCATGCACAATCGCCGTTCCACAATTTCCTTCGCTTCTTCCAATTCTCCCGTCGTCAGCTCCTTCACTGACCGGGAATAATCATCCTGGCCAATGTCAGCAGACGGTTGCGCTTTCAAATGAGGTTTCTTTGCTGGCACTGACGCTTCCTGAATGGGAGGTCTTGCAATTGTGGATTGCTTCCCCGTCAATCGTCTTGCCGTCGGCAAGGATTGCAACGGGAATTCTGTCCTTCCCATCCAGTACTGATCCAACGCCCGTTGCGGAGAATCTATCGTCCGCCAATTGTCGGCGATGGTCTCCTCACGTCCATCTTCGAATCGGACGTAAGTTGTGCGTCTGGACGCCACATCTTCCACAGGAATGGGCCTGTCCTTGGTGCCACCTGGCGTGAATAACGCACGCCTTGCGCGCTTGTGATGTCGAATCAGCACAGCGCGTTGCGGATCAAGTTCCCAACTGTCGTTGTGGTAAATGGTGGGCTTAAATGTGGGTGCTATGGTCCCTGAAGAATCTGAACCAAACTTGGAATGAAACTCTTGACACACTTCTTCAAATCGGGGTTTGTCAAATGGAAGAATGTTCGGACCTAGGAAAAGCAGTGAGCCTTTTCGGTGAATACTCACTACCTTACCATTGGGCATAAACAATCCCAATGAGTCTGGTCCATCCAATGCTACGCGGAATCCCTGCAGCAGCAATCGTGCAACCGACACAATCGGATAAGGCACGTCACAAACATAAAAATTCATGAAGCAATCTTGTCCATCCAAGTTCAAGCCAACCAATCTTCTCCCATACATGTTCAATGGCTGTCCTGTGACACTCTTCAATGGTGGGCCATTTCCATTTAATGGAAGCAATGGCCATTGTTCACCAAAGTCTGGCGGACAGCAATGGGCAGATGCTCCTGAATCAAATAGAATCCACGGGGTGGAATCCTCGACTGCTGAAATCAACTGTTCATGCAAGAATGTGTCCACAAACTTCGAATTCAAGTGATCCAAGCCGCAGTCCTTCAAGGTGGTCACGAAATGAAAAGAATCCTTCACTGGGGTTGGTTCATCATACCAATCTAACAAGTCTTGTCCGGGAACAGGGGCAATCAATCCGGCACTCAAACATGGCATGCTATCCAATCCAGTGTCCAAGCAATACATCGACTTAAACAATCTTTCATGCTCTCCAAATGTCATCCAACTTTCACCTTCACCCTCAGACGGACTGCCACGAGTGGCAGGAATCTGAAAGGATGATCCTGAGGTGACCGAATTCATGACAAGTGCAGCAATCAAAAATGATGAGGCCTTTGGCTTGGCCTTTGGCCGAATGGGAGTTGAGCCAATGTTTGGACTCAATCCCGGCGGCACCTGTGTCACTGCTCCAATGGTTCCTTGCTGTGAATCTCCTGCTGGGGGTGGTCCTGCCGATGAAAACGCGGCAGAATCGCATCCAGCAGGAGGCTCTGGAATCTGACTGTCCTGAAACCAATCCCAAGGGTGGTCCCAAGAGTTCACAGAATCCCATGATCCCCAAGACGAATCCCAGGACCAATCTTCTCCTTCATCCCAACTCAATCCAGCAATGTCCCATGAGCCATCAGGCCACGACGAATCAGGCCAGGGCTCTTCGGACCATTCTTCATTCCAATCTTCCTCAATCACTCCGCTCACAGCTCTCTGCGGACATGTTCTGGAAATGTGGCCGCGAGAGCCGCAAATCCAGCAGGTTGCAATCGACCCTTTTCCTTTTCCTTTGGAATCCTTTCCTTTTCCTTTTGGGTCCTTTCCTTTGCCTTTGCCTTTGAAATCCTTTCCTTTTCCTTTTCCTTTGCTGAATGCTCCTTTGTTGTATGACCAATGTGGTCCTTTGGCTCCTTTGAATCCTTTGAATCCTTTGCCTTTGCCTTTTCCTTTGAATCCTTTCAGCGCCCCAATGTCCATGGGTGCTGGTCCTTGGTTGTCATTCCCCGGCATGTTCCTAAGAATGTGCCTGGAATGGTGGTACTGCACAATCACGTTTCGTGTTTGTTCATAGGTCAACAATGCCGAAGCATTGAGCCTCAAATGCTGTTGCAATGGGCCTGTTGTCTTGTTCAAGAGGGTAGCCACCAGAATGCTATCAGGAATGGCTTGGCCGGTTTGAGATTCATATCTGGCCTTAATGGTCTCCCAGGTGTTGAAATCTTGTTCAAATGTATTGGAGTGAAACTTGAATTCCAAAATCTGGCTAAGTAAACTCATGTGCCGTGTTGCGTCCGGCAATGCAAATTTGGAATACAATCTCCTCCAGGTTTCATAACCATTGCAGCCAATGTTCTGCCTGACTACCAGCCTTGCTGAATCACTGCACAAATTTGCTAACAAATAATGCAGCCTTCGGGAATTCTGAATCCTTCTGTCTGTGGCATCCTGGTTACCCGCTACATTCAAATGCGCGTCCTCAATGGGTGTGTCTGCGTTGGCCTCAATGCGGTCCATAATCGTTGTTGAATCTGGCAGGAACATGCTCAAATATGTCCTGAAATCCCAGCTCCAATCTTCCCAGTCCTCTGGCTTGCCAGTGAATTTCCCTGGCATGGGAAGTCTTAGCTTTCCTGCAAAATCCTCATCTTGTCCGAGTGCCATGGCAGCTCTCAGAATCAGGTTTCCCTAAGGTCTCCTGAATCTTCGAGCTCCGCTACCATGGGAAAATCAGAGACTAATCTCTGCTAATCAACCAAGGCAGCAAATGCACCTTTGTCACCTTGAGCCATGCAATGGTAATCAGTATGAATTACATCCAAGTGGGAATGCATGGTGAGCAAACAGACAGTCCAAACCAACCAACCCAAGCCAACCCAAACCCAACCCAACCCAAACCATACAAACAGACAGACAGACAGACAGACAGACAGACAGGCAGACAGACCAACCAACCAACCAACCAACCAACCAACGAACCAACCAACCAACCAACCAACCAACCAACCAACCAACTAAACAACGACCCAACTCAAACAAACAAACAACAACCACTTTGAATGCGACCTGGAACGGGCTTGGTGCACTTTGGTTGCTTGTGTTACGCCACTCCCCCCCTTTTGGGGGAAAGAACCGCCACGGTCCCAGGCCTCGGCGTGCCCAGATCGGCTTGTGACCACCTCCTCATAGCTGGGGTTGGGCGTGAAACCTCGGAATGGGCGCGAAACCTGCACTCACTTCCTGAGGAAGTGAGCGATACTGGTCAAAAACCAGTCTGAACCTGTGATTCCCTCAATCAAATGGTCCCCCAAAAGGCTCCCCTGCTAAAAGTGACTAACTTTTAGTGGTCTACTGGAAAACCCATTAATTGGCAAAAAGCTCTCAAGTCCCAACATCCCTTGGCAAAATGAGCCAACCGTCTGAAGTCCAGGAACTCAGGAAGTGAGAGGACATGCCTGAACAAAAACACAACTGCTTGGGTTTGTTCACGTTAGGTAACATGCATCTTCTGATTTGATGAATAGTTCGACTGTTAACCGTGTTACTTCGAGTGGCTGAGAGTTTGAGAAGTCCGGACCTGCTGATTCGAGAGCTCAGCCATCCGCGGGGTTGATGCCATGCGTCTCTGGTTTCTCGTTGAAACCGAAGCTACCGAGGGAAGGGGTCACCTTGCACCGTAACCAAGCGCAGGTGCTTTGATTCATTCCGATCGGCCTGCAGCATAGCCGACGGCCGTGGAGAAGATGCCGTAGGGCAGACGCCAGATGCCCTTCTCGCTGCCCCAGAAGCAGCCTTGGCTCTACACATTTGGGCTGGGTTGGTCTGGCACAAAGTGGCAGGATCTCAAACCCCCACTCCCCCCCACCGTTTCGCCCCAGGGCCCCAGAAGTGCCATGATTTCAAGGAAACCCGGGACCCGGAGACGTGGGGCTGGGGCTATATGGGTTTGTATTTTTTAGGGTGGCCGGGCAGGAAGGGTTGAGTACAGGGTATGATTCGCAGGTATGATTCGCGGGTATGATTCGGGGTATGATTCGGGGGTATGATTCGTGGAAGCAGCAGCAGCAGCAGCAGTAGTAGTAGCAGTAGTCGCCGAAGTAGTAGTACTAGTAGTAATATTGTAGTAGTAACAATAGTAGTAGTAGTAGTAGTAGTAGTAGTAATTAGTAGTAGTGGTAGTAGTAGTAGTAGTAGTTGTGGTAGTAGTAGCAGTAGAAGGAGTAGTAGTAAATAGTAGTAGCAATAGTCCTAGTAGTAGTAGTAGTAGTAGTACTAGTAGTAGTAGTAGTACTAGTAGTCGTAGTAGTAGTAGTAGTAGTAGTAGTAGTAGTAAGAGTAGAAGCAGCGACTGTAGTGGCGCGGAAGCTTTGAAAAGACTTCGCGCTGGCCTTGGCAAGGCAAGTTCATTGCGCGGGTATGATTCGCGGGTATGATTCGGCTAGGTGCAAAACGGGACTGATTACAAACTCGTAGTAGCTGTGGTGGTAGTAGTAGTAGTAGTAGTAGCAGTAGTAGTGGTAGTAGTAGCAGTTGCAGAAGTAGTGGTAGCAGCTGTAGCATAAGCAGCAGCGGCTGTAGTGGTGCGGACGCTGTGAAAACGACTTGGCACTAGCCTTGGCAGGGGAAGCTCATTGTCCGGGTATGATTCGGGTATGATTCGCGGGTATGATTCGGCTAGGTGCAAAACGGCACTGATTACAGACCAGAAGCAGGAATAGTAGTAGTAGAAGTAGTAGTAGTAATAGTAGTAGTCAAGGTTGTAGTCGTAGTAGTAATAGTAGTAGTCAAGGTTGTAGTCGTAGTAGTAGTAGTAGTAGTCAAGGTTGTAGTCGTAGTAGTTAGTAGTTCGGGTAGCAGAAGTAGAAGCAGTAGAGTAGTAGTAGCAGCGGTGGTAGCGGTGGTAGTGGTAGTAATACTCGTAGTCGCGGTAGTAGCAGTAGTAGTAGTAGTAGTAGTAGTAGTAGTGGTGGTAGTAGCAGTAGTAGTAGTAATTGTAGTAGTAGTAGTAGTAGTAGTAGTAGTAGTAGTAGTAGTAGTAGTGGCAGTGGCAGTGCTAGTGGTAGTATTGGGTAGCGCTGGTGGTGGTTGTTGTGGAGACAGTGAACAACACAAAACGGTAGAAGAACATTAGCATCTTGCAGCATACGTTTTAAGGGGTATGATTCGGGGGTATGATTCGGGGTATGATTCGGGGGTATGATTCGGGGGTATGATTCGGGGAGGTCCCACCTTCTGCCTTTTGAAGCAACTCAACACACCAAAAAAAGACAAACCCATATGGACATCAAGGCGGTTTCTCCAAGCGGGTTGCGTTTGGGGTGATGTGGCTCTGGTGCCCCGATCGCCAAAGTGTTCTTGCGACTTGGGCTAGACTTTCGAGCTGCTGCGAGAGATGCGGGGAATGAGAAATGGAATGACCCCGGGAGACACCATCCAACTGGTGGTGTCCATTTTAGTGCAAAGGACATCGAAACGGGTGCCACTGAAGCACTGGGAAAATGCATGCAGAAACCAGCGCGAGCGGAATGCTCAAAGTTGGCCAACCCAAGCGACGAGAACATTGCTGATATATCAATCCACCTGTCCCACAAAAAAGGGGGAGACAGAAAATGACTTATGTTCTGACTCTGTTCCACAATGATTGGCCAACCCCAAAAAAAATAAGGAGACACCAGGCCATGGCAATTTCAAGCGCGAGAAGTTTTGAAGATCAACTTGGTCCCCACCGCATGTCCAAAACCCCCGTGCACTGTCAAAATTGCCAAATGTTGATCAAATCAGGGACCCTTTCTGCTTCTGCACTTAGTTTATTTTAATGCGGGCCGCAATCCAACATGAGCCCAGGTGGCATCCCAAGCAAAGCCCGAAGCTCTTTTGGAAATGCTTGGAGCCTGCATGCCTTTGGACTGCACAAAGCTTGCTGGATAGCCGACTCTCAGGAGGCGTCCCACGCGGAAAACCGGGCCCCACGTGCAGTGGGTGTTTCCCGGCAAATCTGGACGCCTACAACTTATGTTGGTAACTTCCCCCTTCTCGTGTTCGAAAAGAAGAAGGATTGCAGAAATAAAACCCTGGCGCGGTTCCGTTTGGCCCTCCCAGACTTTCCGTAGCTTCGTGTGGTTGCTGCAAGGTTTCTGTCCTTGGGGTCGAGCCGGTCATCTTAGTGCGAGGAGCCATTGGCAAAGACGAACTTCTGCATGCCTGACTGCGTAATCGAAAGCAGACCTTTCGCACAAAACAACTAGAGTACATCCCCCCCCCAACCCCCTCCCGCTTCTTCAGCAGAATCCTATTCGGAGGAACAAGTGGGAAGGGGAGTTGGTGGGGGGGGGAACGTTGAACATCCTATGAAACTTGACTCCGCTCTTTTGCTTGCCGCCGGAGGATCCCAAAACCAGTTCAAGACCGAGAGGAAGACCACCATTTCGGGCCCCCCTATTTCGGCACACCTCATTTGACCAACGCATACTCTCTCCCCACGGCCCTGTTTGTCTGCAAAACTTCCCTCAGGTTCTTTCTCGCGCTTCTCAGGGGTTGGGCCGACCTTTCGAAACATTGTTGGAAGCCGCCATTCTCAGTTACTGCTTGGTTTCTTGCACAATGGCCATCCCTGTCCCCGGTTGCTCTTCCCAAGCCGGTTTCCACCATCTTTTTTTAACTAGGGGAAAATAAGGGCTCCTCACCTCTTTTGGTTCGTGGGGGAGGACAAAAGGCGCCTTGCATTTGGTGGTTGATGTGTTCAGGGCTCCCCCTCCAATTGAAAGGACTGGCCACGGGCCCATGAGCCAGTGGGCCGACCCGTCCTGTAGGCCATGGCCCCCTCATGGGGTTCTTCAGCACGTAGTGCTGCTCGCTCACCTGAAGAAGAATACACACAGGTTCTTAGACACCTATGCCACGGGGGTTGCTTCGCCGGAATCAGAGTTGCCTTCACTCATGCTCGAACCCGCTAATTAGGGATCCATTAAATCAAGCGATGAGCGGCACCAAGAAGCTCGGTGAGGTGGACTTCGGGTCGCATTTCTGAACCCGGCTGCCCAAACAAACGGATCTCCTTTGCCGGAGGGGCTCAGGCCTGTTCCCTTTCAACATCTCAGGTTCTCCCCCGCCAGCCCAGCACCCGTGGCCCCGATATACTGTGTGTGGGGACAAAATCTGGGTGAATGATATTTCACCAAACTGAAATGTTTGGTGGTTGGGGGGCTAGTCCCCACATAAACCACCCATTTGGGGTAAATTCGGTCGTGTGAGGTCGTTACAATTCACCCAGACAAAATCTTCCAGGGGTGGACCAATACCCCGCCTCCATTGGAGCGCTCCTTCCAGGCAGGGCGTCTTCAGGGCCTATGCATAAACGCCAGAAACGCCCCACGGAGATTCTGAGGCTCCTCGGTGCTTTAGAAAGAATTCCCTTGTGATATCTGATGCTAGTACACCAGGGTGAGGGTAGATGTCAGAATTTGCCTTCTGTGGGAAAGCAAAGGAGATGACTAAACCATACCGATTGAACTGTGCCATGTAGTTTCACCCAACTGTACTCCGTAGGTGCGGAACATCTACTGTACCACTTTGAAAGGACTCCCCTTGGCATCACAGAAAGTTGCCCTTAAAACTCCGTTTTGTTCCATGGATTAACCCCGGCAAAAAACAAACATGATGAGGTCCTCAAACCGGAGACCCTTCTCAACATGATGGCTTTCCAGGATGTTGAGAATATTGCACGCCCTTCAATTGTTTGCGGTAGGTCCCCTGGAAGAAAACTTGATTTTCCTTTAAAACCAGCGGGGGGAAGCAGACACAACTTTCCTTAGCAAATTGAAGACACCAATGGACACAAAATAACTCCAATGCCGTTAAATGGAACCCTGGAAATCAATTTCTCGTGATCCATACGAAAAGGGAACAGCGGTGCCAGTGAAGAAGTGGAATGTGGGTTCTTTCTTCCCAACCCCTCACCGACTCTCACATCTGGAGTCTCAAAAATCTGCTCAGATTCATCCTGGATAGCTTGGTAGGTCCTATTCCTCGTGAACATGGGAATTGCCGCACAGGGGATGACCCCATTGGTTCGATTTGTCGAGCAAACCAAAAGAAGATGGATGAGTTGTTGGGAATGGTAAATGCAGGAGCGGGACGAGGGAGCTTGTTTTTGCCCAACCAAATCTACTTTTGAGGGAGGTCGGTGGTTCAAAGCTCCCGTCTTTCTCGCCCCGGATCCGTGTCACCTCGTTCCTCCAACCCTAGGCAACCTCCAAACAAATTCAAACGAGAAGGCGCCACGGGTCGCAGGCACGACTCCAACCGTGGCACAGCTTTGGGCACAAACCCCCGTCCAGCCCAAGCAGCGGATCATAGATGTGCTGCCGCCAAAGGCCCGCCATGCCTCAGGGATCGGCGACAAAGGTATGACTCAAGTCCTGGGTGGCATTGGTAAGAACAAAGTTCAAGCTGTTTGTTTACCACCAAAATGGTTTTCGCAAAAAGTATAAAGTCCAGGAAATCAAGCAGTGAGATGAATGAAGGGCAGAAACTCGAGTCAAGGCCTCTTGAATACCCCGTTCAAGATTCCTTTACCCGAAGCCTCTTTCGGGGCTGTTCCAAATGGGGGGTCCGTAATCCGTACTCCCAAGTCGGACGTATGTGGGACGTGGGATGCCAATACAACAAGGAAAGCCACTATCATCTGGCTTAAGGATTGCAGGTTGATTTGGAAGAACCTAGTTAATGGGAAGCCACACAAACAGAAAGGACCCGTGAAGGCTGCAACTGAACAACTAGGGATTTCGAGCTGTCCTATCAGGCAATAATATGTTGGCAACTGCTAGGGCTAGGCACATGGGATGTCGATAAGGGGAAGCAACGCCCCAAACACTTGCCCAACATGGATACTCCGCGCCCTTGTTTGGCCATCTTCAGGCCATGTCGGCGTTTTCTGCCTGGCCCCGGCTTGCTAAAGAAGCTGACTGATGAACAGGGCCTCACTTGAATCCGCAAAGGAGCTGGAAACAGGACATTTACCTGATTTGAGATTAACCTCTTGGGATCTTCACTTGGGACCTTGACTATTTCACCATGGTGAAACCACCGTCAGATCCGGTCCATTCGCGTCTGCTCTCCCCCAAAGCAAAGGGGATCCCATCAGCTTTGGTAGCTCTAATGGACCAGCAACTTGTATTTTTTTGAGGGTGTCCCTTTTTCAGTGGTAAAAATAAAACAAAAACGGGAAAACCAGCATTTGTTTGTTGGGGGGGGTTCCCGCTAAACAAAAGACACAACCCAACTTATTTCCCTGTTCCAGCAGGTCGGCCGGAAAATCGCACTCTCTCTCGCGCACCTCGAGTGCCAGCAGCACGGCGACGGAGCACGCGGCCATGGCTCGTGCCATCCGCTTTGCTTCTGGATCCAATTTGGGGGGGGGGGTGTCTCAAAATAAGGGAATCCCTTTTGGATAGTGATAAACTAGGTCCTCCAGTAGGGAGGTTAGAACAAGGGTACCACTTTTTCTTTTTTCTTCTGTAGTCTCTTTTAGTAGAATCCTACCCAAAAAAAAGGGTCAAAGCACACTAAGGACCCAGGCCAACCGAAAGCCTGCAAAGACCCGAAAAGAGCTGAGCTTTACACACGTTGTGCTCCGTGATCATGACTTGGTTTGGTCTTAATCGGTCTTAACCCCTCCCAACAACTCCAGTCTACATCTTTTTGGGCGCTTGTAGCCCATCTGGGAAAGGCTGCCTTCCTTAGCACTGGAACAAACTTTGCTCTCCGAAACTCTTGTTGTTGGCCTGGAAGGGTTTGGGCAACTTTTGCTCAAGCCGCATAATTTGGGAAACCGATTGCACCAATTCCTTTCGCGTAAGCCAAGGCAAGGATCTTGCGGATTGCCATTGCGCAGGTTTGGAGTGGTCTGGAAGACTTGGGCGATCTTTGCGCCCTTTGTCTGGCAGCTTTGATCAGCAAATCCACGTCTTACACAAGTCAGCACGCAGGTCCGCTTTGACGCCGCGTGAATGTTGCCCCAAATCAGACAACTGGTCAACACTTCTGCGGAGTATGGTCATGGTTCCCTTGCAAGCAAGCCCTTGGTTGTTGAACATGTGTGTTCCAGGGTTGCTAGCCATCCTCCCGCCCCCCCCTCCCCCACCAACCCTTTGGCTTTCTCTTTGGTTTATGGGCCCAAAACCAGGATGAGAGTTGCCCCTCAAGGCAGCCTCTAGGCATTCGAAAAAATCCATGGCTGGCACCGGGCCAGAAAGCTGGCAGGGGCCTGGGGAAACTGCCAAATATGCACCGCACGTCAAGGTTTCTTTTGGGTGAGAGTGAACCCGTGTGAAGTCTTAGTTTGCCGGATTTGCCCAGCTTTGCTCAAGAATCACTAGGTTTGTGACTGCTGCCCTTGAAGAGGAATCAGCGCACTTCAAACCCCTTTTCGTCGGATGCTTTCTGGAAAGGGCTCTATCCACAAAGGGCCGTAGAGGGCACTGAACAACGCGGCTCTGGTTAACACTGGAAAAACGTGCAGCTCTCAGTCCACTTGTTTGGAAGGTTGTTTGGCTCCGGTTTCTGGCGATCTTTGCAGCCATCTTGGAATGAGAGGCATGAGGAGTCGTACTCCCGAGACCGCGCCCCCAGGGAAATGGCTGGGGGGGGGAGGCGCCTGGAGACCAAAGCGTTCCAAGGCCGCCAGGACCTTCCGAAGCGACCAAGGCCGACTTTTTGTTTGGCTCATGGCACAGGCGACCTTTTTTTGCAAAATAGATGGCCCCCGGGTAAATGGTACATAAAATCAATCTAAACCAGTGCAATGTAATTTTAAGCAATCTAAACTAAAAAGACACCTGCGGCTAATAGGGTTCCTTTGGGTGCCTTGTCCTCTGTGTTGTGTTTTTCTCTTTTCTCAGGGGAGGTCTGATGCCCTGTTTGGGGTGCGCATGACAACCATGAGAACCAGCTGTTGTGAACCAAACCAGTGGCTGCGGTTCAGACGTTTGATAGTTGCTCACTATACTACTTGGATGGCCACGCCTGGTAACCTGCGGGAAACAGGCAAAAATAACAATTTGCGTAGGGAACACATTGACTGATATTAACTAAGGAATGTATCACGTGAAAAAGCTCATCCACATAACTGGTCTGCAATCTGTTTTATAACTAGCCAAGCTACACCAGGGTCTACAGTTGGTAAACTGGTTGAGTTTGGCATGCCAAGAATATCCAAGAATCATGCGCCTTTTGGCGGGGCACCCTTTTTGAGTTTGACTTGCTGTTTACCTGTGAGGGGTGGGTCGCAATTGCAACCCGGCAAACAAGTCTATACGCAGAACTCCCATTTGCTCAAGTCTCCTGGAAAAATATCTCCAGTAGTGATAGATTCCCTTTAAAACCAACAGCGGAAACACAACGCTGAAAGCGGGTGAATTCGCCACAGCTTTGGCACATTTCGCCGAAGCTCCCTTCCTGATTCCTGGCCTGGTCGGGGTGTCCGGCGGGCACCCCTTGGAGCACAAAGTCCAGCGCCATGAGCGGCTTGGACCTCAGTGGATGGCCTTCTCTCCCCGACGCAAACGCCATCTTGCAGCTATGGTTGTGTCGTTTTTTAGGGGCTCCCCAAAATGGTCTTGGTTTCTGTTGGTTTTCCTTTAAACCACTCAAATTAGGCTCCCCAAAAAACAGACAAACCCTAGGGGGTTTTGGCGGTTCTCGCGGGTTTCGAATTGTTGCGTCAAGAATTATAAAGCCCGGGGGAGAAAAAAAAAAAAAAAAAACGAAAGCGACCGCCTTCACCCAGTTGCAGGTTTACAAGGTCTGTGCGCGCTTGCTGGGAGGGTAGGGGAAGGCAGAACAAAGCGGATCGCTGCATAGCATCCCACCTCAAGGAAGAGAGGAAAATGGGGATCGAAAGGCTGAGCACGGCTGGAAGGAGCAACCGGCTTCGGGGAACGAACCAAAGTTGATGCCCCTCTCCATGGGGAAAACCAACCAGTGGCTTCTTGCCTTTTGCCAAGGGCGACCAAATGCTGGCCTTTCATTGGGGAACCGCCAAATTATTCCACCGGATTATGTACCAGAATGTTTTGAGGCACGGTCAGCGTTGAATTGCCCGAGCAGGCGAATTCGGAATTGACACTGTGGGTGGACGGAATCCTGCACCATCTAAGAAACCCTGGACAGATGATTCCCCTGTAAAAACCAACGAACAAAGGTCCCCATGGTTTCAAAGTGATGCGAAATGGATTTTGTCCATCCACAGCTTTGTCTTTCATCTGGTGTTTTGCATTTCAGCTGCACCTGCTTGAGCAGCAAGCTAGGCCAAGAAAAATACCGCCCAGCCCCTTGGAGTCCCCCACTTCCCGAAGGCTCCATTGCCGCAAAGGAAGGGTCTAAAGAAACCAAGAACCAAAAGAGAGATTTGTCGAATGTCGCACCTGAACAAAAGGCTACTTAAAACATAAGATGATGCTTAAGCAACCCGAGCTGGGACATGTAAGTACCCGTAGGTCTGAGTTGGATGGGGAGCTAGGTGTCGTTTTGCTTTTGCCTGAAACCAGTGGGAAACTCCCGGGTTTGTCTCAAAATAAGGGGTCCCCCCCCAAAAAAAAGAAGAAGAGTGGGTTTCCTTTTGGCCTCCCTTGAAAAGCAACCAAAGTCAATGAACAAGGGGGGCCCGAGAAAGCTACCCCCGATCCTTCAGCCTGACCCCTGGGCCAGCGCACCGTCGGGCCCAGCCGCCCGCCCGAGAGTCGCCCGGGGCCTGGCGTCCCCAGTTCGAAGTTCGGGCTTTCTGATGCCAGAAGCCAGCCCAGAAAGTGGCCCGCTACCACCCCGTGGACCCGAATTTGCTTCCACCACCCGCTTGGCCAGTGACCCGCCCAAAAAAAGTGTCACACTTTTTGGGCCACCACTAAGATAAAGGGAGAGCCATCCACCCCCCCCCGGAAACTCCGGGCCCAGCCCCAAGCTTGGGGAAGAGAAGACATGCCACGCGCTCCCTTTGGCCGGAACCCCGCCTGGCCGTCAGCCACGGCTCGGGCCTATTGAAGGCGAGGAACTGAGTGACGTTGACCCCAGATGAAGAAAACGGTTTTATTCATCTCACTTCCCGAGGCAAAGCCAGAGTCACCTGATTCTTGCCGTTCAGCCTCTCACTTTCTGAGTGTCGGCCAGACAAAATATGAGGTTGTTCTTTGCCACCAAAATGGTCTTCCCCAAAAGTACAAGGTCCAGGAACTCGGGGAGTGAGCAATAGGGGGGCTGCGGGCCCCTCCAAAAGCGGTCTGAATCCAACCGACTCACCCCCCACCTCTCTTTGTGGTGTTGTCATTTTTGAAGTCGGTGGCATCCCCGTTCTGACGGAAGGGGGGAACCCGTTCTGAGTCTGGGGTGTCCAAAAACACGCCCTCCGTGAAACTTCAAGCCTTTCCAGCATTGGAGTCTTTCCGAAGGACCTGGAGGTAAAGAGGGTAAGCTTTCGGGACCAGGACTTTAGGTGGTTGTCAAGGGAAACCAAGATTCGAAGGCGGATGGTTTCCGGACGAACAAAAAGCCCCAACTGGGCTCCTTGAATGATACATCCGCAAAAAATATGCTTTACGATTTAGATCCCAAAAATCAGCTGGCATCTGAGTGGTTTGTTGAACTGGCCCAAAAGTAGTTCCTTTTAGGGACGCTGTTGAACCGGCTTTTTATCATTTACCAGAACAATCAAAGGGCACGCGGGATTCCAGGCCTCCCTAAAATGTTCCATCAAAGTGTGTTTCTGAAAGTGAGTTTTAATCACCCACTGAACCAGCCTCCCTTGGCCATTGAACGAGTCTCCTTCTGGGGTGAACCGTGGAATAGCACGGACCACTGGTTGACTTTTGCTTGAGCGTCCCATACCGCCACATCCGTCCCAAAAAGCACAACCTCCCGACCCGGTTTCCGAGCCCATGACCAGGGCGAAGGAGCTGCCTGGCACGGAAAACCAACATTCAGCCCAATGGAGCCGAGAATGAAAACAGTTCACCTTTTGGGACATTCAGCTATGACCAACATGGGGAAACCAACGGCCTGCAAGTGAGTTGAGCCGAGGTTTATAATTTCCTGTACTTTCACCATGAAATGATCTGCAACTTCGGCAATCCAGAATCAAATTGAAACCAGAATGGGACCCCCAAGAAAAGGACCTACATCATGGCGAGCTCGATTTGCCGCAGGACAAAATGGGGAGAATGACATTTCATGACTGAATGTGGTTAGAAGGGCCCTTTGGGTGGGGCGGCCAACGCGAATCAACGACAGTTGCTAGGCAACTGCAGGCTTGAGTCCGCGAATGCCACATCTCCTTCGCACGGAGGAACCCGTTCCGACGCGAGCAGCGCAAGCCATGCCTGGACAGAACCGGCTACATGGTGTGTCCATGCTTTAAAGCTGCGGTTGCCCATCGGAAAGTGAAACAGTCGTAGGGTTCCAGTTTTCGTTGACACTGTGCTCAGGCACGCTCACCTTAGCCTGCTGTCCGCCCACCATGCGCAGCAATCCAATTGGGGAGCGGCAAGCTGCCGAGTGGAACTGTAGGAGTGAATGTTGGTCCGAATGATTTTTGCGGTTTTCCGAGGGCCCCGGTATGTGCTGTGAAGGGCCGAGGCACGGGAATGCGCATTGCACATCCAAGGATCTGCATTGAAGGGTCCAAAGATGCTTAGAAAAAAGGGAACAGTCTTGGTATTGCACACTGCGGCTTCACCTAGGGCCAATGCCCTAAGACCCTCACAAAGTGAAAAGTAATCAGCCGGCAGGTTTTTGTGGAGGGATGGAAAACAACATATTCAACCAAACGGTGAAGGTTCAAACCACCAAAAGGGAAAGCCATGGGAAAGCTCAACATCGGCCCACCAAAAGCCCAAATAGACAGATAGGCCATGATCTCTATTTTGTGTGCACCTCGAATGCATGGCTGGGGGCAAACGTCACCGCGCGACTCCGCGGCCCTGGGCCTCTACAGAGCTCTAAGCTCTCCAAGTGCTGCCCGTGCGTGGAAAGCAGTGCCGACAGGCCTGCGAGTGAGTCAGGCCCGAGTCACTGGCTGCTTGGTTGGTTGGTTGGTCGGTTGGTTGGGTTCTCCACGCCAGATCCCAGGACCGTTGGCATTTCAATACTCTACGTTCGTAGTGGACTGGGCGGGGAGGGGGGTGATCCAACTGTGGCTCGCAGTAGTTCCAATCCCTGCTCCATTTTCATGGGTGCGGATGATCTAACTATAGCTCAAAGGAAAGGAATCTGAAGGAATCGGTCAATGCTGGGGCGTCTAATTTCTCAACACGACTTGGGTTTGACTCTGGGGAGCCACCCTGAAAATAAGCGGATGTCATGCGGTGCTCCCTAAAAACGTTTGGAATATCCGGAAGAAATTCCTGTATTTGAACTCCTTTCAACCTTTACCATCCCCAATGCTTTAGAGGTATGTTCCCTGGCATCCGGCATGGATCTCAATCGAGAATTTGCCAGGGAGGATATACTTGGGGGTGTCTGTTTTAGGGGATGCGCCAAAACTGTGGTTTTCCTCTTGGTTCCCCTTTCAAAAAACCCCAAAAGTGGGTTCCCCCCCCCCAAAAAAAAAACACCCCTTTGGCAGTGGGTCAAAAATAGATACCCAACTCGGAACCTTGGTAAATGGAACCCAGCACTAAAACCTGAGATCCGCTGGTGTAATTTTGACCCACAGCCGTTTTGAGAAACACCCTGCTACATTTCCGCCCTCCAAGCCTTCCCTCCGCTTGCCTTGTGCAGCAGCGCGCAGGGGCTTCAAAGCACTGGACTTCAGAAGATCGGAGCTACCTAAGCCAGCACGACGGCGGGTTGGGCATTAGCGCCGACACCTGATTAATCAGTTACTTATCAAAACGGGGGGTCCCTTTCTAGTTGGGGAATCCTTTCCAGGGAAAACCCCCGTGATTTGTAACTGGAGAGTTTATAAACTGGGTTCAACATTAGGAAACAAATCCGCATCTTGTGTTGTTTGCACCCAGCCAACGGGCTCCAAAAAGGAGCCGTCGCAGCACATAATCGATGCAAGTCCTCCCAAGCTCGGAATCTGAAAGAGGTGGGATCCAGTGAACAATCCAGAAGACCTACGCACTATGGGGGGGGCATTAACCACTTCCCAAGCGGGGTGCTTCAAGCGGCTGCAACATGTTGGCAACCATGACTCTCACCCACGAAATCTTGCAAGAAGGGAAGAACCAATCAAGAAGGGAACCCCTGTAACTTCAACTCTGGTTTGTGGGTGGTTTACTTGCCATCTCTTGAGAAACCATGGTTGAAACCCTTGTTTATTGGTATTTACAGGGGATTCATCATTCCAGGGTTTCTTAGGTGGTGCCTAAGAGGATTTCGTCCATCCACAGTATCTTGCAAGACTCAAAGCAAACCCACCGTCCCCTGCATCATCCAAGCCGGCGCACCCTGGCGCCGCTCCGCTTCGCAAAGCAGGGGTGACAGGCCTGGCGCTTCGGGAGGGCTCGCCAAAGGAAATCCCGGCTGTGGGTTGCTGGCCCAGTTTGGACCCAGGAAGAGGTGATCACTCTTTGGGACCTTGACTCAGCATGGACCAAACTTGGAAAACCCAAAGGTCAAAAGGTCAATTCGCTTTGGGCAAGTGAGTTACTTGGCATGCTTTCCCTGTTTAGAAACTCTTGTAGCCTTGTTCAGGCTGCCCTGTTCGGTCCGTCATTTCGGGTCCATTCGAGTGTGACTTGTTTGGAGTTGGTAAGGGAACTCAGCAAAACAAAACATGTCGTTGTTTTGCCACCTCCATTTTGACACGTACACTGTGTTGCTAACTCCTCCCCCAAAAGTCAAGCTGTTTGCTGCATAGATTGGCCAAACGAAAAAATGCAAGCAACTCGCTAGTGAGCTTTCTCTTTCAATGAAGGTTCCATTTGAGCAACAAACACACAGTGACTTATTGTTCTGCCAACATGGTTGGTCACGCAGACGCATACTATGTAGGTGCTACTTTAACCCCGCCAAGTAGAAGCAATCACATACCAGAATGGCCAAAGCGGGCTTGCGGACTACTCATTTGTTGCCTATTCCAAGCTCGAGATACCAGCAAACACGGAAATACAAAGAACAATTTCGGAAGCCTAGCGTCCTTTTGAACAGGTTGTTGGGGTGCAAAGGTCTGCTATGACACGGCTGGTGTACTTTAAAGTCAGCCACGGACAGTGAGGCCCACGTCCTGAAAAATCAGGGTTCCAATTAAAGTTCTTCTTTGACAACCGAGGCAGAGACTCACCTAGAACTGGCCAAATGCCATACGTTGGACGCCCTCAATATTGCAAGTAGGGAACAAGGGGAAACGATGAATGTGCATGGTTTAGGGACTATAAACACCTTCCAAGTAAGCGCGGCTTTAGCAGATGTCTTTTTCCGTCACGTCGAAGTCGCTCAGTTCCGGGAAGCCGTTTAAGACAGTCCTTTTAAAAGGGCTCAGAAAGTATCTGTGTATGTGAGCGTGTTTGTGATGTGTTTGTTGCCAGCCCAAGACGGTTCTGGTTCTTGGACGGGACATGCTGGGCAACAAATGAACACTGATTCGTCGGCAGCTCTCTCATGCGGCGAGATTGTCCAGCAGCGCATTCACTGCCCGCTCAGTGATCCAATCCTGGGTGATTCTGGCCCTGCAAGTGAATAATCAGCTTCTTCCACAATTGGTGGTTTGGATTGGTTTGGTGGTTGTAAGGAGGGGTTTCCCATGTACCCTCTACAGTGGGTTACCACCAACCTCACGGGGTTTCTTAAAATACCACCCTTCTTGATTGGTTTTGCAGGGAAACCATCAGGAAAACAAGAGCCACTGTTGGGTCCCCTAAAAGCAGACAAACCCTTGTGCCCCTTTGAAAAGTGAAAATAACCTACTGCCCCAAAGGCTTTGGGGCCTCTTGAATTGCTGCATAGCTTTGCGCTTGGGAACGCCCATCTCCCAAAAAGTTGCTCGGTCAAATCCAGCCTACAAAAGGTTGATGCCAACCCAATATTGGGGAACAAGTTGGACACCCTGGAAGTTCCATGCTTTGTGGTTGGTGTGCTTTCAATATTTATGGCATCCACCGTGCTTAGCCTGGAATCGGGAAATTGAATGTTGATCTTTGGGGGACCTCTGGGCCAAAAGAATCACCAGAAGCCACATCCCTCCCTCCTAAACGGAAAGAATGTGGAGAAGGGCCGCACAGCTTGCGGCTGACAGGGGCTTCCAGGAGCCTTGACGACTGTCAATAGTATACGTCCACGTTGCCTGTTCTTGAGGACGCTCCTAGTGGAAACTTACACAACCAGTACGGAACCACTGGGGCAGTGGGTACGTCCCCAAAATCTTGGGAACTACAACATTGAACATGTTTGGCTCTGTAGTTAGCGTCTCGCTTCCAAGAAAGCAGATGGCTTTAATCGTCCAAGCAGCCACATCCTCAACCACTGGGCAAAGCTTGGATACGTGGTTCCCTCTGCCCGCCCCCTATGGAGAATTCTGTGGTTGGAGGGATCGTTTTGGCGGTGGGATGCCAGCCATGCTTGTTGCCGTTTAAAGCCAGGACAACATAAACAAAAGGAAAGAACACTTTTCAGCAAATCGAGACAATTATTCTATCATACTTGGCTCAATTCACCCCTCTTGTGATGGGTCATCCCTGCTAGGCCTTCGTTCAATAAGGAAGCCCATTGGCCACTCACATGAAAGAGGACTCTAAAACCCCAGTTTTCTCATGCACGATAAGCCCAATGTCACTGACCTGCTTTGATTCACTAGAAATTGTCTAAATCTTTTGGCCCTACACCGGTCAACAAGAAGTTTACTTCGAAACGCAACAGGTGTCCTCCAGAAGCAAACAAGGAACCTGAACGGCCTCCTGGTTTGCATCCATTTTCCTCCAGGGACGCGTTGTTTTTTGTCTTTTTCAGGTCCCATGTGTTTGTTCAGAAGGAAACCGCTTCAAACCAAACACCAAGTTGACTACTGCAGGTTTCCTGACGTCTTATCAACTTGGCTAATGGCTTACTTCGCCTAGCTCAGAGCCGGAAACCAAATCGAGCCAAACGGGAGGGCAAGAACAAGTGAGCCCCAACCTTGCTCGTGCGATAGGCAGGGAATGAGAAATGGAATGACCCATATAAACCATCCAACTGGTGGTTTTCTTTGAGGGCCCTGGGTTCATTCCCTCATTCCCTGCTGAGCACCAGCAAGTTTACTTCTGGATCCCCATTAAACTAGGTATAAAGGAGTACATGAGGCTGTACTGTAACCTTGAACCTACCAAACAGTAGAACCACCTCACGCGCCTAACGGGCCTGGACATGAAAGTTTGGAACCTGAACCAAAAAAGGGGAACAACGCAAAGTCGAAAGGTCGATTCGCTTTGGCCAAGTGACACTCAAGTGGCCCGATCTTTCTTAAAACATCTTAAAACCCTCTCTGTAAACTGGCAACCAAAAGGTCGATGTGTAAAAGTGGTCACGGGATTTCTTGTGAAAAAACTCAACATTTACGGGTGGCTTCCCTTCAGCCCTACCACTTTTGGAGGTAAAGCTCGGCAGCTGGCTCGGCAAAGCCCTGGTTCAACTTACCCAAAGGGGGGAACATGGCAAACTTGCGGCCAACAGGCGGCGGTTAAACTGGGCTGTTTTCAGATCCCCTGCCAGAAGCTTCACTCTTAGTGGGTCAAGTTTGAAAACTACCACTTATCCCGAGCAAACGAAGAAGAACAAAAAGGCCAAGGGAACCGGACGGAAAGCTGGGGGCCCACCAAGTAACCCAACCCAAGTTGGAAACATCGTTGGATCCGATCCCGACGCGGGTTCGCTGCGCGCCGCCCTTCGCACTGCCCGGCTCTCCGAGGCGCGTTGTCCTCCAAGAAGGTCCTGGCCATGGCGTCCTCCACCCCGGTGAAGCCAACCACCACCTGCGAAACCCGCGGGAAAGAACCGAAGGAGCTCAAAGAATGAAATGGAGTTTTTTCTTTTTTCTTGTGTTATTATTATTGCTATTATTCATATTTATTATCATAATTATTATGATCATTGTTATTACTCTACGACCTGTGTCTCTTTCCGACCTGAGGGTCTTTTGGGCTTGCTTTTGAAAAAAAAAAAACAAAAAAAAACAGCCCATCTGAGAAGCAACGCGGGCCCGAACAAAAGCTCTGCTTTCTATATGTGTCTTGCTGCTTTGTTTCCTCCGCATGTGAAGCGAAAGGTTCATAATTCATAAAGGGTCGGAAAAAAAAAAAAAAAAAAAAAAAAAAAAAAAAAAAAAGAAGTTCGGGGCTGGATAAGTCTGACCCCTAGCCCTAGCCTGTCCCTTAGGCGTAGCCGCAAGGTTCATTCGAAAGAACGCACCGGTCAGTTCCAAAGAAATGACGTAGAAGCCATGGGTGGCTTTCCTTGGGCCGTAATGGTGCTGCTTGCCTCCAAAAAAAGAAGAAGAAAAGGACAACAGCATGCGGTTTGGCCTCTTGTGTTAGAACCTCTGCATAAGTCGAATCCAAATGTACTACTTGAAGGACTTTGTGGGCCCCCTCCAAAGTGGCATTCCCCTCTCCATCACTAACCTTGTTTAGGGCTGACCAGCTTAACTGAGAAGAGTGAGAACCCACCAGGACATTTTAGGGCGCCACCCAAAAACCCGAAGCAAAACATATGCAACCAGGGTCGTTACATTGTACACCTGAGCATTGCCTTGTAAATGGTGGTGTCCCTTCATTTTGGGGGGAAAAGCCATGTTTCAAATGGGCAAAATGTATCTTTTAAGGAGCCCTGTGGCCCAAGCGACGCCGGCCTGCACTCGACGATCACGCTCCTCCTCTTCGGAGAGCCTCAGGTTTCACAGGCCGATAAAGGCTTCCCGGTGCTCATTGGGCTGTCCGTTTTCAGATTCCCCGCTAAAAGTGACGAACCTTTAGTGGGTTAAATGAAAATCCAACCACTACTCAGTTTCTTTCTGCGAAGCCCTGCTAAAAGTTGAACTTTTAGTGGTTTAGTTCGGAAAACCCATTAGTTGGCAAAAAGTTAAAGTCGATGGCTGGGAGCCACCAAGCTCAGGGATGAGTTGAAATGGCGAGAAAATATTGGTTGCTGCAACGACCCCTCTGCAAAAAGTGAATCACTTTTGGGGGGTTTGGTGGAAAACCCAACTTGATTTCAACCAACAAGTGACAGTCTAAAGATCCAATCCAATATCAGTCAAGAAAACTGGTGGTTTGCTTTGTGGGAATCCCTCTCCGATTCATTCCAAACACCTGGAAAGTAAAACCCCCCTGAGCACCAGCAGGAAGGTTGCCTGAGGATCAGCAAAGGTTCCTTGGGAGGGTTTGTGAAGGGTTCTGGGAGGGGGCCGGGGGTGGAGGAAATGTCCCTAATAACTTGCAAAGGTTGACGAGATGGATCCTCCGGGAGATGCCAACTGTTTTGTGGGGGCGGGGAGAGATAAGTAACAACAGTTTTGAGCTTGCCGACTGAACTGAACAGCTAAGCTGAAGGACTGTGGAGGAGTGCACCACAGCCCTGATGCCTTCTGTGAAATGCCAGGGGCTACGGTGGATTCACAAATGATATTGCATGAAACTGCAAGTGAGCCAACCGCATTTAAGAACAAAATAGACGAGTAAATTGTGGGGTGTCCAACTTCTTTCCTATTATCATCTATCCTGGGCCATCTAGGGTGCCCACCCTACGATGGCCATCTCTTCTCACCTGCCCAAAGTACCTGGAAATACAAGGCTCTCCGATTGGGACCTCGGATAAACCTGGTTGCCAATAAGGGAAACTCAAAAGGCCAAAGATCGCTTCGCTTTGGATAAATCCCGGAGCAATTCGAAAGCCTGAAAAAGTGATCACCCCCCTGGGCATAGTCTTGCAAGTCCAGGACCTGCAAGCCATTGCTCCCCTCCCCCAACCAACCCCCCCCCGCCACCGCGGCCGCGCGTTCGCCGAGCGTCGTCCGCTCCAGGCGAGGGGGCACTACCGCCGGCGCTGCCGCGGGCGGCGGCAAGGCGGCGGCAGCGGTGGCGGGCAAAACCTACCGTCTGAGTCTCCTGGTCATACTGTGGATGGACGAATTCCTGCAGTACTTGGAAAACATGAGAAACCATTGTTCATTGGTATTTACAGGGGAATCGTCATTTTGGGGTTTCTTAGGTGGTGCAGGATTTCGTCCACCCACAGTAGGTGTCCTTTTAAAGAAAATAGATGGATATCCCTGGTAGATGATTGAAGCGTGTTGAAAGGTGGGATCTACCTAAAAGTCAGCACGGGCAGCAGCTTGTTTTTCTTGAGCCATTGTCATGTCAGTATGCCATTACCTATCAACACCCCCCGCTTTGCAGAGGTGCGTTGGTGAGAACAGTACTTTGTACACGTTTCTCCCCCCCATGCCTGAAGCAAAGTCCTCTGAGGTCAAGGCAGTGAAGACGTAGAGCCTCAGTGGGATAGGTGGCAAGCCATGGTGATATGAGGCCTCATGCGTCAATGGTCGCTGCAACTGCGATGCATTTGGACTTTTGCAGGAGCGTGCCATCCGAATCGGCCGACCACGACTTCCGTCGGGCAAAACACATGTGATTTCCATGTGAATGCTTGAAACTGAATTCACACTGTTGCCATCAGCGAAGGTGATCTCACGACCACAGCTTCCGCTGGGCAATACTGAAATGACATCCGGTGGTGGCGGCCGTGGATTGACCTACGGCCGCAGCTTCCGCCGGGCGTGCAAACTTGGCACTGCTAATGTTGCGGCATCAATGGATGAAAGATAATAGTTTTGAACATGACATCACCAATGAAATTGAAATGGTTACCGCAACATAAGCAAACTTTTGTAATTGATGCGGGTGCTCACCATCCCCACGGGCCCTGACGCCATTGATGCCATCCAGAGGACCACCCGTACCAAGAGCTCCAGTCCTGACGCCCCGTGCTCTTGCCTTTGCCCTTGCCCTTTCCTTTGGTGTAGGGCTCGGGGCGAATGGACCGGGTGATCGCCCTCCACTGGGTGTTCCTCGCCTCAACAGGATAGGTCCGCGTCCGGCCGGAGGAAAACCGCGGGATTTCGAGTTCACCGGTGCTGATGGTGCCCTGGGAGTCGAACTTGATCCAGGAGGCCCGAATGAAACTGACCATGACCTCCACAATCTTTTCGACGTTCCCTTCCGGGACGTATGAACCGCTGTGCCCGATGATAATCGGCACCTGGTTGCCCGGAATGAAGCGATAGGCACACATGACCGCAAACTGCATAATGCTGTAAAACCTCGCGTGGTGTGCAATGAAAGCCTCCGTGGAAACGTTCAACTCATGGGGATCGCGTTTGTTGAGGCTGGGGATGAACACCAACTTCGTTCCGGTGTTCTGTGATCCGCCTCGCTCGCGTTCCTCCCTGGTACGGCCTGGGTCAGCGACAACCGCTCGGGCAATCCGGCCAAGGAAGTCAAGGCTCTCTGGGGTTAGCCCTTGCGTGGCGCAGTTGTATGCGTAGAATGGATCGACCGAGAGCCGGTCAGATACCTTCTCGCACCCCATCCCCAACGCCTTGGTTAGGTGCGTTTTGGCCGTCTTCCTGAGTGACGCTTCGACGGAGATTCCTCCCCGCTTCTCGCCTTCCTTGAAGTGATGCTTGGAACGGATCCACTTCCCTCCGCCGCCTTGCAAATCCTCCAGGTAGAAAACCATGCCCTGGAGGGATGCTGTGTGCTCGAGGCGCACCACCTCAGTGGCGATGCGTGCGTCCGTCCAAGACACCATGTCTGACCGGCACTCCTGACACAACAGGTAGCCGTCGATCTGTTGGTTGTTGCACCTCCTGTTCCAGCATTTCACGACCGGTACCTTCATCATGGTCGTGAAGAGGAGGTCCTCCCAACGTGGCTCACTCTGGTAGCGGTTCCGGAGGTTGTTCCAGCCGCGACCATGCCCTTTCTCTCCCCTGGAGAGCTCGGGCACCCGTCGAAGGGTTGCAGGCGCAACCTGATATGTCGGGCCTGCAGGTCTCTCATTCGACTTCCCCTTCCGGGGAGCGAGCTCATCGACCGTCTCAATCTCGGTCACGGCACCCGGAAGCAATTTGCCGTTCCTCGTCCCCTCAACGACGGTCTTCCAATGCCTCCAGGCCTTCTCTGCAGTCAGGGTGTTTTCACTTCCGAAGAAGTTTGGATTGACGTCCTGGGGCCCAGGCGCAAGCTCGGTTGTCAGCGCCTCGCGATACCTTTTGCGAAGCTCAGGGTACGCACGATTGAAGTAGAGGAACTCATTCTTGCGGGTATGGAAAGCGTAAATGATATAGGCATTCCCAACCCAATCTGCAGACATAAACGCCTCATCGCTCGTGAAGAGTCGAATGCCGTCCTGCATCATGAGCTCAGTATCAAAAGCAATCGTGACGGGCCTTCCGGCTCGCGTTCCTGCCAGCTTCCTCATCTGCGCCTCCCAGGGTGGCGTGGGGTTGAAGTAGACGTGGGCTCTGCCAGCCCCCCGGGACCAGGCCGAACTTGAGGATACTCTCGGCCGACCTGAGGTCACAGGTGTGGTAAAGGACTGCCGGAAAGCCTCGGCGCCACAGGTCAGTAAGTTCCGGATGCCGCACAGCCCTCGGGTAGTGACCGTCAAGGTATTTCGCCGCGGTGAACTCCTCGTCGAAGGAATACAAACTTGTCAGGATCGCCTGCTCAGTGTACTTCCTTGTGAGCTCGTTGTGGTGTCCTTGCACGGCCCTCACTCGCAAAGCCTGATACGGCAATCCTTTCCAGGATGCTTCCCCCATTGGAGGGGGCCCAACCATCACGCGGAATCTGCGGGTGTTATTGTTCCGGATGCAGATCATCACCTCCCAAGGCATGACATTGGCAATCCGGTCATTCAGATGCCTAACCAGCGCATCGAATTCCACCGACAGGTCAACTCCGCGAAACGGCGGGTGGGGCTTGCCGTCCTTGAATGCCCCTCCCCAAAGGAAATAGGACATTTTCTTCGAAATTGCGACCAGTCGGTAGTCGCGGTCCATGTTGACCTTCGGGACGTGCCCCATGTCCTCGACCTCAAGCCACTCGCTCTGCTCCTCGGCCGGGACGTTGGTATTGATCTTCCGGGTCTTTGCCCAGTCTTCCCAGAAGATCTTCTCTTGCTTAGGGTCCTTCTGCTTTTTCGACCGGGGTTCCCCCTCGGCGTTGCCTGGCGGCGCCTTGGCCTTTGCAATCCTCGGCATCGCCTTCACCTGGGGCTTGTCGGTCGAGCCTGCAGCCGTGGGGTCCGACTCGTCTCCAATCTCAATGAAACCAGTCGACTGGGGTTCCCCCACAGCGTTCTTGGCAGCAGATCCGCGCCTTGACGGCGGCGGTGTTGGCGGTTGCTTGGATGTGCTGGTGCCCTCCGTCACGGACTCAAAAGTGACCGACTCCGCGGTGATCATGGAACTCATCCCTGCCGCCTCGGAATCATCAGCTTCTGACACCATCTCCAATGATACCACCGTTTCCTGATCGAACAAGTCACCTTCAGCGATGATAATCGACTGGCCTTCCGGCGCAGCACGGTGCACTCCTGGGGGCAGATTCGTCGCATCCCATCCAAAGTCATGGGTGTCATCGCCCAGCAAGAGCCACTTGTCTTTGTCCTCGTCGTCGGGGACCTTGGACAAGCCGTGTTTCTCCGCCGTACTGTCGATGTAGTGGGACATCGCGAGTTCCACTCGGTCAAGCTCGTCGTCGGAGTTTTCCTCACCTTTGTCGACGGCTTCAAGCACGATGTCGGATTCCTCGACCTTTGCCCCCCGCATGTCGATGGTTATGGCGTTATAGGACTCATCCTCCGCCACCTTCATCCATGCGGCCACATCGGCGTCGATTTCGTCGCCCTCCTGGTCGTGGGACCAGTCGGGCTTCTCTTCCATCGCCGCGTACTCGTGGAGCGCTTTGGCCAGCTTCAAGCATGTTGGCCAGCCAAAGAGCACCGGGTCGACCGGTTCACCTGCCACGTAGGGCTCAACCCTCCCAATGGCTGGGAGGGCGTATCTGATACGCTGGGCCAACAGCTGCGTGTTGATAGCCGCGTGAAGGAATTTCGACACAACCTTCCGGTTGGCATTGCTGTATGTCATGTGCACATCATCGTACCTGTGAGCTAGCAATGTCATAACCGATGGGTCGATCGAGTCGATCGCCTTGATGCGGGTCCCATCGTCGATGTCCCCGTTGGCCAGGTGTCGAAGGCAGCCGTTCATAGCCTCGTTGTAATCGGACGTGAGGGCATAGTCCTCGGCGTCCGGGTTGCTGACGAAGGTAATGTCTCGAATGCGTCCGAGCCCAACCGCCTCCTTGAAGAAGTCAAGCTGCTCGTACACGCGAGTCTTCTGAATCGTCGGCCACTCTGACGCGGCCTTCCGGCCCGCCTCCGTTCGGTTAAACCTTTTCTCATGGATCCATCTGCACCCCACGAAACCATAGTTGCCGAAGACATCGTTTCCTCCCCACAACACGTAAACCGAAATGGGAAGCTGTTTGATGCCCTTCTGGGAGTTGTCCTCGGCGATGAATCGCACTTTGGCCTCCATGGTGCTGTAGATAGCCTCAAGCCCCTTACCCCAATCCATGCCGTGGTAAATGTTGCGGACCCCCTTCAGCTGTTCGGCCTGAAGCAGCTCCGCCACATGGTGCTTGGTCGGGTATTTGTTGTTCGGCTCTTCGACCATGGCACAGGAAGAGTCTCCAATGACCAAAATGTCGACCACCTCTTCCGAGGGGCATGGCACGGCGCGAAACTCCGCAGGGGCGTTGCGCCCTAGGACCTGGATCAAGTCCCAATATGCCATCTCTGAGTTGCTCCCGGCTAGGGTTCCCCCCAGCATCACTCCCGGTGCCTGTTCCTGCGATGCGATAGTCCGCGTCACCGTGTCCGGCTCCGGGATGGTCGCAATCGCTGCCTGCGTTTGGAATTGCTTCATCAGCTTGTCCCATTCCACCAAATTGTAGATGGTACCCTGAATGTCGAGCTCCTTCTCCAACACGTCGTTGAGCAGGATATCAACGGAGG